ACTGTCCACTCTGATCCAAACCTGTAATGCTAGTATCTTTTCAATAAGATATTGTGACGTTTCATACAATGCAGTATTACCTAAATAATTGATTTTAAAAACAAACAAACAAAAATTGGAAGAAATGACCTAGTGTGAGAACTCAGAAAACCTGCTCACTGAAGCTCTGTCTTAGCAAGACTTCCTCAGCTATTTCAAGTAGCTCTGAGTCCAGGTAAGATCTAGATCAGCACAGGAGAACCAAGGATAGCACAGTGGAACTCGAGATGGAGAAGGAAATGAGCCCACAATTTCCATTTAGCTTCCTAACTCAACAATGCAATAAAGCATTCTGTCTCCTTCGGGGTGGAGTGAATTAAAGGAAAGAGACAATCTAAGAACATTTAAGGGCGTTTTCCACCCTGCCTGCACAAGAAGAGAGTCTCCCCTCTAACAAGATGAACAAAAGGCAAGCCAAGACTTGACTTGACACCAAACCCAAATCTCTGTGGTATGTGTGAAGGTCCTTCAAAAGGCCTGTGTGCCAACACCAATATTTTGTATCACAGCACTGGTTCTGGCTGTTCCACTGACCTAGCTTCCTACTAATGTGCTTGCATGAGAAGCTGAAATCTCAAAGGCATTTGGATGAGTTTTCTGTTTAGGATCTCACACATCTATGTTCAGGATACTGGCTGAGGCAAAGGTCTCCTCTGAGGTTCTGCTGCAGAACTCAGATCTCACAGAACTGGAGGAACTTCTGCTTGTTGCTGGCTCTCAGTTGGAGGTTGCCCGCAGTTCCTAAAAGCTGCTCTCAGCCTCTCCTCCACGTTGCCTGTCTACGCAGGCAACCCATGGCATGGGAACACACTTCTTCAAAGGCAGAAATGATAATGGAGAGATTATAGCAAACGGGATACCCCATTCCAGGGTCCATTCTATCAATGGCAAAAGTCACACACAAGTCATCCATCTTTGGAAGGAGAAGATGCACAATGGCATGAAAGTCAGAGGCAGGGCTCCGGTGGAGTCTATCTACCACTTCGATTTTAAACAGGACACAGTTTTTCTCTTAGTACAGAAATTCCGAAGACAGTAGTAATGGAAGCTTCTTTCTAATCAGGAACTCAGATCACCAACATCTCAAGTCACACTAGCCAGACTACTCCAGAAGGAAGCTGGGAAATATAGTTGCTGTTTTGAATAAATTCAAGGTTCTAAACTATGGAGGAGGAAGAAGAGGAACTGAGAAGAAAAAGCAAAGTACCAGCCAGTCTCTTCCACCCTACACATTGACAAAGTGGGTCAAAGAGGACAGAAGGAACAAAGCAGATCCCATGTTAGACAGCTCTCAGAATCTTTAGCGAGAGTATGAAGCACTCCTCTGGGTTCAAAGGAATAAATGGCAAGGCTGATCCCAGAGCAGGAGGCCCTGAACTACATTTAAATTTCATGAGCAAAGCTATACTCAAGATCTTACTTTATACCCAGGAAAATTGAAGATGTGACAAATCTATACTTCTTTTATTATGTGTACAAAAAATGTGCTTTCTATTCTTTCATTTCATTTCCAAGAGTTGAGTGAATGCTTACCTGAATTATTTACTTGTGTAAAAATTACCTCTCTACCAATCCTACCCCAGCACCTAAAGCAAATAATGAGTAAAGGAGTTGATGATCAAATGTCTTAAATTTCATGGATGCCTGCTGAAACCTGTGCTTAGATTTTCTATTGCTCATAATTACATAGGTTTAAATAAGGAAGATGTGTTGTAGATATACATTAAGTAAAAACAAAACACAGATAATAGATGGGAAAATAATTTTATTGATAAATCATGATGTCAGATTGAATACATTATAAAATGCAATTAATAGTAATATAACATTCTAATTCTTAAAATGAAAACTTTCAGAATCACCTTGATCAATATGTAAAACTTTGATTCCTAAAAAACCATATTTATTCCAATAATACACTTCTCATATGCAAAATAGTTTTTCCTAATAGGAAAATTATGAATTACATTTTATAAAGCTTCCAGTGTATAAAAGATATTGACTTCAATATACTGGGCAGAAGACTTCCGAATCTTGACTTCATATAAGAAAGGGTGAGTCTCTAAAATGAAGCAACACAAATCTCCACCGTCACTATTGCAGACACACAAGTCAATGTGCAACAGTCCTTGGTGGTGAAAATTTTAGAAATTATTTAGGAAATACCCATTTTTTGTTGCAATATACATGAAATGGCAGGATCTTTTATGGAATGATACAACATGGCACATGAACATACAACCTTTTAGCTAGAAATACTCTTTTCAAAATATGCCTAATCTCAATGATAAATACTTAACTTAAAAATTATATGTACTACTTAGTTTCCTGAAGACATTAGGACGATTGCCCTCCATTCAAAGTAATGATAAAAAAAAATTGCACATCAAGTTATTCCCAAAGTAATTTAAGATGTTTAATATTAACATCAATATCAATATAATAGAAATTTTTAAGTTCTTAAAAATGCTGGAATTTAAGAACAGATAAAATTGAGAAATACACTTTTTGGCCTGAAAGAAGTCTCTAATAAGAATATAAAATGTTTTGAAGCTTATTTACTTAAAAGTGAGCCAATATAACAGGTATCTCAGATTTACAAGATGCAAGAAATTGTATGATCAGGTTTATGACATGATACCTTAAATCACAATAGCCACTTGGTAGATTTTAAATAATCATTGTCTTAATTGTTAGAGGATTTATAATTGGTTAGAATAAAAAAAGTTTGATAAGACAGTTTAGAAAAGGTAAGTTTTGTTTACAAAGAATTCCAGACTATATGAAAACATGTTAACAAAATGGCTCATTTAAAATGAGAAAGAAAAATCATACTTCCAATTCTTTTTAACCTTAGGAAACAGCCAGAAATATCATAAAATAATTGAAGTACAACAGAATAAAGATAATTGGCATTAACTGCCACACAATTTATACCTATATTTAGCATAAGTAGAAAATAAAGCTAAATATAACTTCTTTTTAAAATAAGCATTCCTGGACTCAAAAGAATAGAAGCAGGGAGAATCTTTTCCACAATTCTGAAATTCTTGTGTGTAAGACATGACATTGTATACATAAAAACCACATTAGTTAGGTAATAGATGTGTATCTGAATTCTGCTGAGTGTAATGCACCTCAAATCATAATATACCTAAAAAACTAAATCAAAGATACTAGTTTTAGAGGATAATGAGGAAATACAATTGCATTACACAATAAAAGGAAGTATTTTATTGACTGGGAATGTTTCAATGGGTTTACTTTGTTTTTTAGAACTATAAGTGAAGTATGATAAAATCAAATATAAATATAAATACTATTCTGTCGTAGAATTGTCTATTAGTTTTCCCCAAACATCAGCCTCTGGGGCCACAGGAGAGTCAAACCGGCAATGACATATGCTGATGTCTCTATGAGGATCCCAGACAGTGGAGAAGGCAGAGGCCAAGTCAGCTGACACCAGCAAATGAACTGGCAGCACACTAAACAGAGCAGTTTCAGCATAATCAAACTTAAAAATAAGAATTTTCTAATACAATTCCTCTTAGCCTGTAAAGAAAATAATTTATACTAATAACTATGGCTATTGTATATACTCTTTCTCTTCTTATGCCTATGACTATTTTAATCACTTCCACTCCAAACCTACTGCTTGTAACACAGCAAATATTCTAGAAGAAATAGAAAGTAGCCAAGATATCCCCACAGCATCAGACAGTGCCAATCAATCCTTCCTCTTCCTCCTCCTCTTCACTCTTCATAAATTCATAATAAAAGCAGATTGATCACAAGGTGACTTTTAACTTGAACATCCCAAGGATATCACAATAAAAGGTATTTGAATTCATTCTTCAAGCGAACAAATGTAGTTTAAAAAAAAAAAAGACAAAACCCGTCTTCCCATTCTAGTGTTTCCTAACATACAACACTGAAAGTTGAGTATAAATTATTTACTGAGAATATAAGGCACGTACAGTCAGTCTAGAATTCCCTGGGCATGACAGGAGTGAGAGTACATCCTTGTCATCACCAACCCCAAATTTCATTGATTTTTTTACCTGCCAGGAAGTCCCAGAGTATAAAGGCCAAAAATACCATCACAGAGATGCCTGGCCACAGGAAGTGCCGTTTTCAGAACAGACTCTTCCAAAAGCGTTAACACACCTACAAATTTATCTTCACTTGAAAACAAATGTAAGAAAAGCATGTGCTTGGTGTTTAAGCACTCTCTTTAAAGACCTCTCAGAGGGTCTACTTTCTACATAGAAGATACAAGCTTTAAGTTATTGAAAGGTATCTAGAGTATCCCTAAGTAATACAGTCTACTGAACTTTCTTAAAATTCACTGAAATAAGAGCATCTTCTTAATGAGTTTTATATGACAGATTTGCATACTTAACTTTTGATAGATTCACTTTGATATAGATGAAAACCGCACAAAGCAAACTCAGCAGAATCCATGAGAATTCTATTTCCATATCTATGTGGCAGAAACACCATGGAGTTCTAGGGCAAGATCAAACCATTTCTTAGCTATACTAAGAAAGATGATAAATGAGAGTTTTAAAATAAATCTAAACTATGTCAATATGTTTAGAAGGGAACAGGGTAGTAATGACAGAAACAAGAGAGAAAAAAGAAAAAGGAAGAGGGAAGGGAAAAGAGAGTTTGTGCTTCACCCAGGAAAACAATACCACACTGCAACAACAGGCTGACCAATAATCTGGATGCTCTAATTTAAGAATACTCCTGAACACTTAATAGCCAGGCCCACTTGTTCTTGTACAGCTGGCAGGCCAAATGGGGCTCAGCCCCTAAGCCTAGATGAAGTTTACAGGACCGCCTCAGCCATGCCTGCCCCAACTTCTTTCTCAATCCACAGGAAGGTGGTGTAGAGTATTTGATTATACACTTGGCATCCTCCAGGTCTTGCTGTTCCAAGTGCCTCTACTCCATTCACAGAGGGCCTATTTTGCAGTGTTCTTTGTCTCTCGTTCCAGATAATAAAGCCAGGGCTGCAGAGAGTGTGTGCCCACGGCCTGTGGGGGCAGTGTTGAGCACATGCCTGGCCCTTTGAGCCAGCTTGCAAAGCACAGGCAGACCCACTGTCCTTCGCCTCTCCAGAATGAAAAGCCTGGAGGGCAAAAACTGCGGTGCATCTGGGGTGGAAAGCATCCATTTCACGTGTGTGTGTGTGTGTGTGTGTGTGTGTGTGTGTGTGTGTGTGTGTGTGTGTGTGATTTTCATATCCCATGGCACAGAAACTTTGTTCAATTAGGGAGTATTAGGGAGGATACTTCAAAAAAAGTTCATGGGAAATGGGATTAAAACAAGTTTAGGAGCAGGCACTGTGGCCCACAGATCAAGCTGCCACTCGCAATGCTTGCATCCCATATCAGAGTGTGGTTCACTTTTTAAAATTCTCCACCGACAGTGTAAAAGGAAAGAAGCAATGTGCAGTTGAAGGACAGACCACGGGGAGTGGGTTGGGGTAGGCAGTAGGCACAGGTGGGACAGCGCAAGGAGAAGGGACAGAACAAGGCCTTCCAGCCAGTCATCTCCAGCTCAGCTCCCAGGGAAGCCCACCTTTAACATGGACACAATTGCTGATGCCTCTCAAGTTTTAAGTCTCCAGGCTCAATTCTTTCACAAAACAAGAATGATGAATTCAAAATAATACTTTTATTCTGGAAAAGGAAACGCTTCCCCTAGAGTCCTAAAACATTCCGAGAAGAGGCGGGGGAGCAGAATCAAAACATACCAGTGTTAGCATTCTGGTCTTCCACCGCGGTCCCATGAAGAAGCCTCTGTAGCTATACACACAAGGACACTACGCCTCCAAACTCCACAGAAAGAAAGAGAAAAATGTTTGCTCAAAATAGTCAGGGACAATATTCAATTATGAAAAACAAGATGATTACTTGTATCTTCTGAAAATGTTTGTGTTTCAGAGAGTCCTTTAAAAATGGATCACAGTCAACACTGCAAAGCGCACAGGAGCGTCAAACAGGAGGCGAAGATGAGTGAAAGGTGATGAGGGGGGCGCCCCGCGCCATCCGTACACAGCCCGCAGCCCTGGACGCCACCGCAGAGGTCACAGGAGGACAGCTTTGCCTTGGAGTTGTAGCTCCTCACCGCCTGCCTCCCTGCGCGAAGACACACGGCAGTTCACACAGGACCTTGCCAAAATGAAAGAGCATCTCCACCCACCTTCTGGAGTTTTCCCACTCTTGCTCCCTCATTTTATTTTTTCTTCAGAAAATACAACTGAAATGCTCAAGAAAGGGCCCAAATGGTGATCCAATCGAGAAACAGTGTTGAGCTCCATCTATCTCCCACCAGCAGTTGGCCGGCATTGAAAGAGAACAAACCGACTGCAGCTGGGCAGGCCGCAACCAGGAGCACTTTAATCTCCCGCTGGAACAGGGAGGAATGGAAACGGGCAAATGTTTAACCTCCTGCGGAGCTTGTTCTGCAAATAAAACCCTAATCTCTAAAACTGCTGAAAAGAGATATTATCCAGGGCTTTACTGAAAAATAACTAAGTATCAGAGGACATCTGCCTATGCAGTGTCTTCTGAACACTGAACTCAAATCTGTTCAATCCAGGGAAAAACAGAGCACTGGTCAACATTTTTCAAACTCCATAAAGTACCTACAACACTAAAGTCACTGTAAGATGTAAAGGGTTTTATTCTGACAACATTTTAAGAACACAATCCATTTTCAAACTCCTTCATGATTTTTTGCAAGGATTGCTTTTTTGATGTCATAAGTGTATTTATAGACTTTAAAAAGGGGGTTGGTGGCTTTTGATTGCTCTGAAACCAGTCCATTCTTAATGTAATTGTTTCCCATAAAAACATGTATATTACCTAAGAACATTTTTAAATATCAATTTGAGAATTTTGTAAATTTACTAACAAAACTGGGTAATTGGCATGGTCTTGGCATCTCCCTAGTATATACCAGCCCTCTGCTTGGAAAACAAATGCTACCTCAATATTTCTCCTAATCTCCTGGCTTGTTAACTTGGAAGGAAAGAGAGCAGAGGCTAAACCTTAGTCTTGAACACTCTGCTAATAAGCACCAACAACAACAGTGTGCACAAGTTCGTTTCATTGCGGTGCAGTTGTCTGTAAACTACCTCACCCATTAAAATGCTCCCACATCTCATACATTCCGGCAATTCTGGGACACGTTGAGTGCTTATTTAGCACACACTACAATTAGAGACTGTACCACAGAAGTCACACCCTCATAAAAGTCACTCTGACATAAACACAGATCGGTCCTAATTAACTTGAAGGATCCCTAAATCCGTTATTTTCACATCCTCAAAGTCCTATCGCTTTATAAAATAACAAATTGTCAGTAAAATCAGATGTTCAACTTATTTTCCAGAATATAATGCTCTTGTTGCTCTTAAAAAAATTCTGTTACAATGTGGTGTATGTCCTAGCCGCACCAGAGACTCCCTCAGTGAAGCGATGGCTCCAGCCAGCTGGTGCTAGAAGCCTGCGGGTGCTGCTCACAGCCTCTGCTGAAGCTCTCCCGTTATAAAACCAAATGGGACAAGCCCTTGGAATAGAAGCAAAGCCCTGGAAATGAAACATAACTGAACTTTCCATGTCAAATTTTCTTTGTGCAGTGTGGAATAGTGTAGTAAAAACCTAAAATATCTTTTTTTATTACTTACATGCTACACATTATCCCACCCTTGTGAATTATCAACATTTAAGTGGAAAATTCACTTCCTGGACCCCCAGCCCCCACATTTTCCCCTTCTAGTCTCCCCATAAAACCAATCCAATAGGTGGATACTTTCAGTGAACAAGCAAGTGAAGGAATGAATGCCTGGCTTAACTTCAAAGATGTTAGGAAGAATATTCTAGAACACACTTACTTGGTTCATAGTAATCCATTATGGACACCAAAGCATCTTGGGTATTTGAAACTTTAAAGTTTCTCACAGCAGGAATATCAACACAAAACTGGGTTTCATTTACCTTGAAAAATACAAAAGATTCTCAGAGGGCTGGCACTGCTTTAGGAAGCAGACAGAAACTTAGAAAGGACTTCCATCCAAGAAATGAAGATAGAGTACAGGATGCATCTCTACTTCTGAACAAAAGATGCACTCCCGATGAAGTTGCTAAATATATCTTGACAATAGGATGCTAAACCTTCTATCATTGCATATACCTACAATGTCAGAATATGCTTAAATACCAGAATGATGGACTAATGACTATTTATGAAGAACTGTATTATTGCAATAGTTTAGGGGAAATGAGGTGGGGCAGGGGAAAGGGAGGGTAGGAAGAGAAATGGGGCAGATAGAAGGGGAAATCCATGAGATCATAGAACTATCGTGAAAAAATAAAATTTGAAAAAAGAAAGAACTTCTGTGTGCCAGGTTCTACAATGAATGCTTTCTAGGAATTATCTCATTGAACATGTAAATAAAATACAGGTATTGTTCTCAGGCCCATTTTTCTTTGAAAGGATATTGAGAACAAGAGATATCACACAAGCATCAAGCCCGAGGTGCAGGCTTCAGGGACCTTGATCCTCAGCAGTGCCAAAGGCTCACCCCCCTCTGTAGCCAATCACCTGGGCTCCCGCCCTGAGGTGGGGGTAAGGCCAGGGCAAGTGATGCACACCCCAGGCAATGACTGGCTGATAGGGAGTACTAACACCACCCTCCCCGCCTGCAAGACAGACAGCTTATGCCAACCGGGGAAACAAGACTGGCTAAGCAATCAGAAATTAGTAAATTCCTGCAAGCACTCCATTACCTGCCAGTAATAGTACACACAAAAAGTCAAACAAATCAATTAATTAATTAAAAAGCATTAGACACTCAAGAACATGAGGGGCACAAAACAAACTCCAAAACCATTTATTACTCTATAAGAACTTCAAATTTTTTTTTAAGTTCTGAACCAGGCCCTCAGTTTAAACATTATTAATAAAAAAAAAATTTCCAAATTGCAAAAGAATACAGAAATTGAATTAGTTTGAACAAGACCTTATCCAGAATAGTTTCTCAAGCATTAAAACAAATGAAAACATTTGGAAACTATCTTTTTAAAAATACTTAGCAATGCATTTCCAATTCATACTTAGAAAAACTGGAATAAGAAACAGACGTGCTTTCCCCAACTAATATGAAATCCTAGAAACAATCTTAATTTCAGTTCAACCTCTTGATTGCATACAGATATTAGCAAAAAGAATTAACTTACATACCACCACTTTTCAGATATAATAAGCAGAGTCTGGAATTCTTCATGTACATTTCCCTGACATATTTTAGGTATCTGAATCTTGGATCAGCACATTCACACAGCCATTGGAAAAAATGTATGAAGGTTGTACAATATTTGTGTGTCAAGAGCAAATCCCTGAAATTACACTATGATTTAGGTACCCAAATGCTAAAGACAGGAATGTTTATCACTCTCAGACCTGTTAAAAGTTTCATGAAAGCATTTTAAAACTTGTAATTAAAGCTTTCACATCTAGCATTTAAGGAAATATATTTAGTAATTCCCTGAGGCAGAGTTCTCAAGTTAAGATCTGGATTGAAATTTTGAAGGTATAGCAGTGGTAGTTTTCATGTATCTTGCAAATGACATCAAATAAAAATTTAGTTATCAGGCCCAGCGTGGTAGCCTAGGGGTTGGAGTCCTCGCGTTGCATGCGCCAGGATCCCATATGGGAGCCAGTTTGTGTCGCAGATGCTCCACTTCCCATCTAGCTTCCTGCTTGCAGCCTGGGAAAGCAGTGGAGGATGGTCCAAACCCTGGGACCCTGCACCCATATATGAGATCTGGAAGTGGTTCCTGGCTGCTAGCTTCGGATTGACTCAGCTCTGGCCATTACAGCCACTTGGGGAGTGAACCAGCAGATGGAAGATCTTTCTCTGTCTCTCCTTCTCTCTGTATATCTGTCTTTCCAATAAAAATAAATAAATCTTTTTAAAAATTCACTTATCAAAACCTTCATAGGGATCATCATTAATAGTAATGCTGTATATAATTGCATTGTGATGCATTTGTAGTAAAGGGAGTGTATAGTTGCCAAGGCAAAGTCATTCAGACACAAAAATGACCTAACAATGAATGAAGACATACAAGAGTACCTCAAAAAATTCATGAAAAACAGAGTCAAAAGATAATTTCATTCTGATACAAAAAATTTTGAAATTTATGCATATGATGATACTTCAAAGAGCTCACAAGGGTGTCAGTGGGGGCGAGTAGAACTAGCGAGGCCAGTGCCACAGCCTGATAGTTAGCCTAGTAGTGTACGCCCCCGCCTACACTGCCAGAATCCCAGAGGCACCCGTTCGTCTTCTAACTACTCCATCTCTGGTCCAGCTGTCTTCTAATGCACCCCAGGAAAACAGCGAAAGACGGTTCAAGCTCCTCCACCCATGTGAGAGGCTGGAACAAGCCCCAGGCTCCTGGCTTCAGATCAGCTCAACTTCAGCCATGGCAGCCATTTGGGGAAAGAATTAAAGCATGAAAGACTCCTCCCTCTGTCTCTCCTTCTCTCTGCATAAATCTGCTTGGCAAATAAAAATAAATATATCTTTCAAAGAGAAAGAAACCTCATAGGAAACATATTATGCAAAAACTTCATACATCTCAATTTTTTTTTTGCATTTTCCATGTACTCTTTGAAGAATCCTCCTATGCATGGATTTCAAAATTTTTCATCACCAAAATCTCATCTTCTAATTTTATTTTTTCATGAACTTTTTAAAAAAGGAATCTATTAATACACTAGTTTCTCAGAGTCACAGCTAGTGCATTATAATTACTATAACACAGTTTTCAGCAATTCTTGTGTTAATGTGGTATAAATACATTAAAACTAACAGAAAAACTTCCAGCAGTTTATAATTCTCAGAACACAATGATATATCCTTACTTCCTCCTTCTTTCTTTCTTGTTCATTTTTTTTGAGATAGCATTTTTTACTTAAATTATACTCAAAGGCTTAATGTTCCCCTAGGCTGAGAGTTCCACAAGTAAAAAGTAAAAGGATCCTACTTCCTCAAGAAAGGACTTTTTGAAGTATTCTTGTGCTGAAAGAAAGGCAGACCTCTGAACACAATAAATGGTAGCTTCCTCCAAGAGATCTTTATGAGATTTACATTTCACTACTTACAGAATCTAAATAGAGGTTGAGTTTTCCATGATCATGTTCCACTTTCTTCACAGTCTCACTCAAAGGAATTGCATCTGAAGGCACAGTAAAGCCACTGAGTAAGTTAACTTCCATGAGGGCCATGCCACTCTTATCTGGACCCAAAAACCTAAATCAAACAGGGAAAGTGGATGGAAGGAGAGAAAACGCATTAGGAAAAACCTAAGACAGTTAGCCAATGATCTTCATGCAAAAATTAAAATAACAAATGTTAACCCGATTACTGCTTAAATTCAAATAGAATTTTTTACACAAAGTTATTCTTCTTTACATGTGTGATGTTCTTCTACATTTCAGTCATACAAGGAGTGGTGTGTGTAACGCAACAATGTGTTTACCTAACAGGTGGTATGAACTGCCTGTAATGCAACAGGCTTGTGCTTCTAGATTATAACAGAAACAATCTACATCCTTTCCCAGATAACTCTGTTTTCTACTGGTGAATCAAAACTGAGTTGTATTTTTCATTTTCTCATTGACAGCATCAAACTCTCCAGCTGAAAGTAAGACCCAAGAAGGAAGCTTCCATTGGCCACATGGTTAACGGTCCCCAGCCAAGTCCATAGCAACTTTTCTTCATCTAGTTTTAGAAAAAGAGCAGCAAGGCACAGCTTCCTTTTGTTCTCCCACATACTTGGAGCATATTACGTGTTTTCTTTGGCTGCTTTGAGAGAATTACAAACCTCACAAAGTTTTACTACACTGCATCCTGCTCTTACTGTGTTGTACACAATTTTGAACTTCAGAAGATCTAAGTATCAACAACATTTTGCTTCCATGGAAATAAATATTTGCCTAAAGTAAATAGGTGACATGAGTTTTTCATTTGGAGCAGAAATTCCCAGCACAGGTATGGAAAGAAGTTCACCACTACTGTAAAAGAATCATGGTACTTCTGAGTTACTTCCTTTCACATGGCAAAAGCAAGAAGGGCTGCTAGAACACCTGCCAAACATGACTGATTGGAAAGCCATACAATACTGCTACTTCTGACCTCAGCTAGCTCACAATCCAAAGCAACTAAAACCATCTGCTGGGTGGTTCACTTAGCCAAAAGGCATGCTACTGAATACTAATAATGGATTGAAACTAGAGGTGCTTGTATGTGAGCAAAATCACACAAGAGGGGAAAAAAAGCATGCTTTAACATTTAAAAGTGCAATGCAAATGGTACTTTCAGGACATCATCAAAAGTGCCTAGCTGATTTGGGTTGACCAGCTACAGGCAGTAAGTGATTGGTTTAATCACAATGATACACAGAAAATCTTGCTTAAGGTAAGGTCTTGGATCATGTTGATGAGAATAAAGTACCTGAAATAAAGGTAAACTTTCTGCAAAGTGTCACTAAAAGCATTGACGTAAATGTTTGGTTTTTTTTTTTTTTTTTACATTTTATATCAGGTATGTCAAAGAAAACTAGTAGCAGCATTAAGATCACTTTCATAAAACCTCTACCATAACACGAAAACATTTCCCTTCTTCAAGTCCCACCTATCAACCAAAAATCTGTTACCCAGGGGACCGCTGGACTGCGGATGCTGGACTAACATTTGAGGCATCTTTACAATGGCCCCTGCAAATGAGGACTTCTCTTAACCCCTTGTTCCACCTTATGCTCCCGACCAGCTTCTCCATTTGATTCCTCTTCTCTGTCATTTCCAAACTAGATTTTTACACATTTAGGGATTATTTTATTAACTTTTTCTTACTCTACGAATAATAAGCTGCTCAAAGGCAAGGTCAATGTCTTTTTGTTTCACCATTATACTCCTATGGCTGACATTGTGCCTAGCATAGTTCTAGAGGAGGTTCAACCAAAATGTACTAAGTGAGTTCATAAATGAGAAAATCGGAGCTATAACAGCACCTGAGTTACAGAGCTTTGTGAAATTCCACTGAGATATGCATAGAAGTGTTGGGCATAATGTCTGACATTACAACGGTAAAAACAGTCTGATAATTGCATTCTGAAATTGTGACCAATTGAAAGATTAGTGAGAATAAAGGGAGCCTCTCTTCTCAGCTGAAGAGAAATCCCCTAATAAAGCTGAAACCCAAGAAGGTGAATAATAGGATAAACACATGTGTCATTTTACCTTAAAAATCATGAACAATAAGGCCCAAAAACAGTAGAGATGTTAGGAGGAGACTGAGTTCATTTAACCACTGAGAGGAACTACCGGAGATGCTCTAGATACAAGCACCTGTAAGTCAGGACCATATCCATAATCCCAGCCCCCAAGACACAACTGCAAGCAGAATGCTAGGGGATATGTATAAAGAGCCAACAGCTCCTCAGTGTCAGCCTATCTTTACAGTGACTCCCAACTGAAGACTAAGTAATTCAGATAAAAAGAGCTAGATTACAAGGAAGAAAATATAATTCCTCTTGATTTAATAACGTTCTCATGGAGTTGTTCTCAGACATCTATATGCATTAGAATAAACTGAGGAGGCCAGCTTCACTGCCTTGGGATAAAATCAGTAGGTCTGAAGTTAATACCCTTTTCCCTCTTCTTTGCACACTACCCAACAGATAGGGGACTAATATTCAGGATTTACAAACAGCTTCAGAAACTCAACAACAGCAAACAACCCTATGAAGAAATGGGTGAAGGAAATGGGCAGGAATCTTTCAAAAGAACAAATTCAAATAACTAACGGACCTATGAAAAAAAATGCTCAGGCTCCCTAGAAATACAAATAAAAACCACATGGAGGTTCCATCTAACTCAAGTGAGACTGGCCTACATTCAGAAATCTGCTAATACCATCTGGTATGGATGTGGGGAGAAAGGGACCCTACTCCACCATTTGTGGGAATGTAGGGTAATGCAGCTGCTATGGAAGTCGGTATGGAGAGTACTAAGACAACTGAACATTGATCTACCATATGAGCCAGCTATCTCACTCTTGGGAATACATCCAAAGGAAGAGAAATCTGCATATGAAAAAGCCAGCTGCAACCCCGTACCTATAGCAGCACAATCCACAACAGTGATGACACGACCACAATCCACAATATTGAAAATACGGAAACAACCCAATAACCTGTTGAAAGAGGAATTGATAAAGAAATGTGGTATATCTACTCTATGGAATACTACTCTGTCATTAAAATGAATGAAATTTTACCATTTGCAACAAAAGGTACCAACTAGAGAACATTATACTCCGTGAAATAAACAAATACAAAAAGGACAAATATCATGTGTTCTCACTGATATGAGATAGCCTCATGTAAAATATAAAATAAATAGATATATAGGCAAACATATATATATATACATATATTCATCTAGATGAACTGTATAACGGAGACTAGCATACCAAGAAACAAAGATACAACGAGGTATGCATTTCTACTCCTGAATAAGAGATGCACTGTCAACGCAACTGTTAAGTATATCTTGACAACAGGATACTAGACTTTCTGTCTACACCTAACAATGTCATGATACACTTAAACAGAAGAACGATGGACTTATGACTGTTGCTGAAGGACTATACTGCTGCAATAATGTGGGGGAAAGAGTGGGGGCTAGAGAAAGGGAAGGGAGGAAGGGAAAATTCCTCATCCTATAGAACTATATTCAGGAAAAATAAAAAATTTTAAAAAGACAACCTTGGGGAGGAGTTCGGTCCTTGGGCTCTGGGGCAACTGACGCTCCCTGCAGTGTGGCTACTGTGGGGGGTGCCCCTGCCGGGTCGGACCCAATGCGGGGGACTCACGCCAAAGACACTGCCACAAGGCAGTGAACGAGTCCTCAGCCTCCCCCAGGACCCAAGAGAGCTCTTCCCTCAGGGTAAGTCCGCCATGAGGGAACTTGGGAACTGGGTGGAAATTCCTAGCTCCGCCCAGCTGCTAAGACCATGCGGCTGGGGGAGTTTGGGAGGAGTTCGGTCCTTGGGCTCTGGGGCAACTGACGCTCCCTGCAGTGTGGCTACTGTGGGGGGTGCCCCTGCCGGGTCGGACCCAATGCGGGGGACTCACGCCAAAGACACTGCCACAAGGCAGTGAACGAGTCCTCGGCCTCCCCCAGGACCCAAGAGAGCTCTTCCCTCAGGGTAAGTCCGCCATGAGGGAACTTGGGAACTGGGTGGAAATTCCTAGCTCCGCCCAGCTGCTAAGACCATGCGGCTGGGGGAGTTTGGGAGGAGTTCGGTCCTTGGGCTCTGGGGCAACTGACGCTCCCTACAGTGTGGCTACTGTGGGGGGTGCCCCTGCCGGGTCGGACCCAATGCGGGGGACTCACACCAAAGACACTGCCACAAGGCAGTGAACGAGTCCTCGGCCTCCCCCAGGACCCAAGAGAGCTCTTCCCTCAGGGTAAGTCCGCCATGAGGGAACTTGGGAACTGGGTGGAAATTCCTAGCTCCGCCCAGCTGCTAAGACCATGCGGCTGGGGGAGTTTGGGAGGAGTTCGGTCCTTGGGCTCTGGGGCAACTGACGCTCCCTACAGTGTGGCTACTGTGGGGGGTGCCCCTGCCGGGTCGGACCCAATGCGGGGGACTCACGCCAAAGACACTGCCACAAGGCAGTGAACGAGTCCTCGGCCTCCCCCAGGACCCAAGAGAGCTCTTCCCTCAGGGTAAGTCCGCCATGAGGGAACTTGGGAACTGGGTGGAAATTCCTAGCTCCGCCCAGCTGCTAAGACCATGCGGCTGGGGGAGTTTGGGAGGAGTTCGGTCCTTGGGCTCTGGGGCAACTGACGCTCCCTGCAGTGTGGCTACTGTGGGGGGTGCCCCTGCCGGGTCGGACCCAATGCGGGGGACTCACGCCAAAGACACTGCCACAAGGCAGTGAACGAGTCCTCGGCCTCCCCCAGGACCCAAGAGAGCTCTTCCCTCAGGGTAAGTCCGCCATGAGGGAACTTGGGAACTGGGTGGAAATTCCTAGCTCCGCCCAGCTGCTAAGACCATGCGGCTGGGGGAGTTTGGGAGGAGTTCGGTCCTTGGGCTCTGGGGCAACTGACGCTCCCTGCAGTGTGGCTACTGTGGGGGGTGCCCCTGCCGGGTCGGACCCAATGCGGGGGACTCACGCCAAAGACACTGCCACAAGGCAGTGAACGAGTCCTCGGCCTCCCCCAGGACCCAAGAGAGCTCTTCCCTCAGGGTAAGTCCGCCATGAGGGAACTTGGGAACTGGGTGGAAATTCCTAGCTCCGCCCAGCTGCTAAGACCATGCGGCTGGGGGAGTTTGGGAGGAGTTCGGTCCTTGGGCTCTGGGGCAACTGACGCTCCCTGCAGTGTGGCTACTGTGGGGGGTGCCCCTGCCGGGTCGGACCCAATGCGGGGGACTCACGCCAAAGACACTGCCACAAGGCAGTGAACGAGTCCTCGGCCTCCCCCAGGACCCAAGAGAGCTCTTCCCTCAGGGTAAGTCCGCCATGAGGGAACTTGGGAACTGGGTGGAAATTCCTAGCTCCGCCCAGCTGCTAAGACCATGCGGCTGGGGGAGTTTGGGAGGAGTTCGGTCCTTGGGCTCTGGGGCAACTGACGCTCCCTGCAGTGTGGCTACTGTGGGGGGTGCCCCTGCCGGGTCGGACCCAATGCGGGGGACTCACGCCAAAGACACTGCCACAAGGCAGTGAACGAGTCCTCGGCCTCCCCCAGGACCCAAGAGAGCTCTTCCCTCAGGGTAAGTCCGCCATGAGGGAACTTGGGAACTGGGTGGAAATTCCTAGCTCCGCCCAGCTGCTAAGACCATGCGGCTGGGGGAGTTTGGGAGGAGTTCGGTCCTTGGGCTCTGGGGCAACTGACGCTCCCTGCAGTGTGGCTACTGTGGGGGGTGCCCCTGCCGGGTCGGACCCAATGCGGGGGACTCACGCCAAAGACACTGCCACAAGGCAGTGAACGAGTCCTCGGCCTCCCCCAGGACCCAAGAGAGCTCTTCCCTCAGGGTAAGTCCGCCATGAGGGAACTTGGGAACTGGGTGGAAATTCCTAGCTCCGCCCAGCTGCTAAGACCATGCGGCTGGGGGAGTTTGGGAGGAGTTCGGTCCTTGGGCTCTGGGGCAACTGACGCTCCCTGCAGTGTGGCTACTGTGGGGGGTGCCCCTGCCGGGTCGGACCCAATGCGGGGGACTCACGCCAAAGACACTGCCACAAGGCAGTGAACGAGTCCTCGGCCTCCCCCAGGACCCAAGAGAGCTCTTCCCTCAGGGTAAGTCCGCCATGAGGGAACTTGGGAACTGGGTGGAAATTCCTAGCTCCGCCCAGCTGCTAAGACCATGCGGCTGGGGGAGTTTGGGAGGAGTTCGGTCCTTGGGCTCTGGGGCAACTGACGCTCCCTGCAGTGTGGCTACTGTGGGGGGTGCCCCTGCCGGGTCGGACCCAATGCGGGGGACTCACGCCAAAGACACTGCCACAAGGCAGTGAACGAGTCCTCGGCCTCCCCCAGGGCGGCCAGTGCACCACATGGTGCCAGGCATTGCCTGCTGGCCGCCCGGAAGGGCAAACTCTGGGGTTTTCAAGATATGTAGTTGCTGCCTGGGTCACTCATGACTAAGACTAGGTTGAATGTAGGTGCAAAGTGAATTTTCGGGTATTCTCAGTGACAGGGTCATGAAAGATTTAAGCAGGCAAGGGGACCAAGACCTAGTGGTTTGGGGGAAGTGTCCAGAAGATAATTTTAGTAAGACAGATGCAACAGCTCAATTATGAATACAGAGATGGGATATTAGTATAGAACATCACTGATCACCACATACTAGCCCACACCGAAGCTATGGATGGGGGCCTCTTTGGCAGTGTTGGGTACCATTGCCCGACTGAGTGTTGGAGTTGTGGAGTGGTCACATTTGGCAGGATCAAGACACTCTCCAGCACACAAGAGAACTTGGGCTGGGGGTAGGCTCTGTGGGGTTGTGTGGGCCCAACCCTTTGGAATACAAGTCCCCCGGGTTAGTTCCCAAGCTGGGGTTGCAATGGTCTAAGCTAGGTGTGACCACGCCATCTGCCATCACTCATGGGTAAAGGAATCCACAACAGTCAGGGTAGGTCAAGGCAGCAGCACCCAAATGTGCATCTTTAAACAAGATGTGGGGTGGGCCGGGCTGCCACTGGAAGGGGGCAGAATGGGCAGGGCTGAACAAACCTTAACTCACAAGTAACAACAGAAATCAGGTTGGAGCACAGCTCATGCCAGGTAGGTCCTTGCACATACTGATCTGTGTGAGGCAGAGGCACTAAGCCACAGCATCCAAGGGGCCAGGACAAGTGAGGGGCTCTGCCAAGCGGAGACAGAACAACCACCGGCCTACACCTGCTCTATGGCAGGGCAGAGGCCCGGTTGGGGAAATAACGGGACACCCTAGCTGGGTTGAGTTTCCCACCAAGGAGCGCATGGGCTGGAACTGAGGCTACATTCTGATCAGGATACGATCGTAATCTCACTTGGCACAATTGTGGACTGGGATGGGAAGCACCAAGCCAGGCCAAATTCCAACACCATCTGGTGCTCTGGAGGACCGGGGAGGGTTGTGTGACAGACTAGGTTAGGTCTCAGCCCTTACTGAACCATGTGTGAGCTGGGTAGGGGTATGGAAGAGCCATGGATGGGTTGAAATATCCAACAACAAGAACCAGCTTGGGTCGGAGGCCAGGCAGGAAAAGCCACTGTTCCTCCTAGGATAGCAGGCGAACTGAGTAGTGCTGGCTCATGGACCCACTGGTATGCGCGAAAACTGGCATTGGGAGAGGTTCTGGTGGAGGAGCCTGGGCAACTTCTCTGGCAGGACACAGTCCCATGCAGGTAAGCGCAAGAAGCACAATAGGGAACAACCCAGAACAGGCAATGAAAATTATCCCACTGGCATACACATGGCATGGGTTGGGGGCAGACCAGCCTGAATCTGTTCACATTACCTTCTGGTGAATCCGAGCACCAGAACAGAGTGTGGGCCGAGCCAGGTTCGGTTGCAACACATACCAGTACACAACAAGTAATGCCAAGGTGAGATGAGCCGTACCAGATGTGGCTGCAGCACACAAACAGCACATGTGACAATCAGGGAGGAGGCAAAGCCAACAGGGGAACGTGGGCACCCCTGCTGGATAACTACTTCCATTGGAAAGTGTGAATACGGATGGGGGCAGTTCAGACTAGGCAGGGCTATAGCACCTGTGGGCCTCACGGTGAGCTGACTGTTCTGACTGGTGCAAGTTAAAATTAGAGTGGGTCGAGGGGTGTTTGGGCTTAGCCACAGCGTTAGCTGGCAGAGGCTGGTACTAGGAGCCAATTCTGACAAGTCAAATGCCAAAACTACCTGGAGACTGCATACTCTGGGAGTGGGTGTGGCCTAGTAGGGAAATAGTGGGCACCTCCCTCAGGGTTACCACCCTCACTGGACAGCATGAAACCCAGGCTAGGAGCAGGGGTGGCTTGACAGAAAGGCACCTGCCAGTGGGTGTATGGGCTGGATAATAGGTTGGTTGGGTTGAACCAGGCTTCAATGTCCATTGACGTGTGCGAGAGCTAATTGGGATGTGGGACAGACTGGACAAGCCTGCAGTGCATACTGGCAAGCATGGGAACCAGGGTAGGGGGCAGAACTGGTAGGGGTTTTGGGGAGTCGCCCCAACTAGGCTGCAGCTCCAACTGGTTTGCATGAAGACCGAGTATGAAGTGGGTAGGATCGAGCTGGACTACAACACCCATTGGTTCACAAGGAAGACAGGGAATAAAAAAAATTTTAAAAAGACAACCTTCGTGCAAAATAAAAGATAGATAAATAAGTAAACATGCATATACATATATTCTCATAGATGAACTGTATAATGGGGACTAGCACACCAAGAGGCAAAGATACAGTGCAGTATGCATCTCTACTCCCAAATAAAAGAAGGACTCCCAATGAAACTGTTAATTATACCTAGACAATAGGAGACTAAACTATCTACCATTGTCTATAACTACAAACCATAATACTAAATAGCAAAATGATGGACTTGTGTCTAGTCATTGCTGAAGGACTATACTTTTGTAATAATATGGGGAAAAACAGTACAGGAGGGGAAATCCCTGTGCCTAAGTAACTGTATCATGAGAAATAATCATATTAATTAATAAATTAATTAATTTTTTAAAAAGCTTTATGCTTTGAAAACAGACCAATTTCAGAATAACCTTAATAATCACTTGCAGAAACTTCAGTATCAGGGCTCAATTATCCAAGATGAAAACTTTCTATACTGGAGTACTTTCCATGCATCTAAAAACTATTCCCAATATCAGAGTTTCATGTTCTTATACAGTTCTGGGTTAAAAGCATAACAGTTTAGATAAAACATCCAGCTAGAATGAAGTTATTTTAAAAGAAAAAATATCTCACAACAAAAAAAACAACCACTTTGGGGAATGTTGAACGTCATTACTTAAAGTTTTCCTTATTTTTTTAGTGATCAGTCAGTTTGTTTTTATTGATTTGAAAGGCAGAGACAAAAAGAGATCTTTTATCCTCTGGTTCACTTCCCAGTGTCCTCAGGGTTAGGACAGACCAAAACCAGAAGCCAAGAGCCAGGAGCCGGGAACTCAATTTGGGTTGCCGCCTAGATTATGTATTAGTGAGAGCCTGGAACTAGAAACAGAGTCAGACTTGACTAGGTACTTTTATATGAGATGCAGGCATCTGAAGCAGCAGCATGTTGACCACTATGCAAAATGCCTGCCTCGCCCCCACCCCACCCCAGAGTTCTCCTAATTTAGATCTCGACTTTATTTTAATGCAAATATTTCTGTTTAGAACAAATACAAGGAAAACATAAAAAATGTTTGGAAATTCCTATGAAATTATTAAATAGAATTAGTTTTTCTAGTTAGTGATAACAACTGTAGAAATAATTGAATTACTAGTAAAATATGATTCCCTGAATTGATACAATCTTACAATTACACAGAATTAAATTTTCAAATTCATAAGTTTTAATAAGAAAAAGGAGAAAGTGGAGGAACCTAAATAGATCCCTACCTTGTACACACATTTAAATTCACACGATTGATATCATCTTCATTGTCTTTTACATCAACATCTAAAGCAAAAGCTTCTTGATTTTGGATAGATCTTCGTCTTCTAGCAGACCCTGAATCTTTCACATTATAAATAACATTGAACTGCAACAAATGACCAGTTACAACAATTAATCAACAATCAATTATTTCAGGCCAAAGATGGACTCCCAGTTTAAGAACTGAATACATTCTAACACTAAGATGATGGACTGTTTGACAATGTCTGGAATCACTTCAATAACAGCATGATGGACTTGTGACTGTTCATAAAGGACATCCACTAGAGGGAAAAATTAATGGGGGGAGGCACCTTGGGGAAGGGCACAGGCAACCCCAGAGCCTATGAAGCTATTGTCATAAAACAAAATATCTTTAAATGCAAAAAAAAAAAAAAAAAGAAATTAACTGCCATCATGATGCATTAAAAAATTGGTTTCATTGGCTAACGGCATCACTATTAATAAATCCTGTTGTAAAAGTTCATTTTAAAACTATTTGAATTTGGGAAAATGGTTTGGTAGCATTCCAAAACAAGTATCATAAAACACTGTGAATGATATTCATGGGATAATGTTTTTTTCAAAGAATGTAAAACATTCTCTCAAAGTGAAAAAGTAGAGCTATTGGCAACCCTTTTGTGAATATTCACTAATTTCTATGATCTGCTGCCCAAATGGAGTCATTTTTCACAAACTGAACCCTGACAAACTCACCCGTGACATGAATGAAAACTAGAACACGTAAAAGCCCTTGCTTATCAGAAAATTGTTCAACTGCTAAGAATTCTTTCTAATCAGACAACATTTTTCAAAGATGATAAAACAAGTGATGGATTTCCTGTTAATCTGGTTGTCTGCAATGTACTCTATGTCTGCCCCTGATGTGAAAGATACTATGGGAATCCCAAATCAGAGGCTAAGGAGGGGACCCAACATTTCCTGTACCAGACCCAACTAGCAGAGGATCATGTTTTATTCTCAAGATAATTACTTAAAATACCATGTTGGGCTTATTCTTAGATGAATATTAAAAGTTGCAGGTATAACATGTGTTAGGTTATCACGTTATAACAGAAACACTATGAAATCACAATTTGTGATTTGTATTTTCACAATGGAAGGTGGTAGCCCCTAAAGATACACATATCATGTTGGAGGATTTTAATCCTCACTCCAAGTAACCCTCCAAGAGATGTTTTTAATGAATTTAAAAAATATTATCTGCTTCTACCCACTAGTTGGCAACATTTTGAGCACTTTTATTTGGGAGTAACATAGCATGCCAAAATCACAGAAGTGAATCATTAAGAATTTTGATGAAGATATATCTATGCAAAAGAGAAGCAATTCCTTAAATCAAAAGGTTATTATTATAAAGAATAATATTTAACTAAATATACAATCCCTATTACATACCTGACAAATAGCAAATCCTAAACCACTTGCAGAAATATTAAGTGTAGTTGGGTATTCCACAGCAAGCTGAAAGAAAAAAATGTGGAAAAAAATGAGTGATTTTTTGGGCTTCTAGACCCTTCTAGAAAGCACAAGAGATCCAGGGTATTCCTCATTAGAAGTGGAAGCAATCCCTGGAGAATGTTAATTGCTTCCCATGGTCCCACATACAAAAGCTATGAGAAGCCAGCTGAAGCGCATCATATCCCAGCTTTCTGGACCCTGCCCTTTGGAGGACATGTCAGTGCTAGAGAATGGGTTAGTCTGCGGAGACTGCTGCATCAAAGAAAATAAAAAGACATCTTCCCCCGCAACCTCCTTAAGACAGGAGGAGCCTGTCTTTCTAGGAGCCTGAGAACACATCATCATTAACTATGCCTAGCATTGACCTTCTTTTTCCTTTATCATCACACCTCTTCCTTCATTCTCAGTTTTGAAATTATCACATTCAACCATTGTCCTTAACGTCCAAAAGGATTCACCAGGTGGATGAAGATAAGGATGAACATATCCCTTGAATACATTTTAAAGTATGAACTGTATTACTTATTTCATCAATTCTCTTTAGAGGACATAAGATATAGTTGAAAAGAACATGTTGCTGAAAAGAACATGGTTTTTGGAGAAATGGATCCAAATCCTAGCTCTACCATTGCTAGTAACACAATCTTGAGCTAGTTACTAACCTCTCACAGTCTCAGGAGCTTTATCATGTGTATCACAGAGACAAACCTACTTGCTTCTTAGAGTTGGCTTCAGAATAAATGCAATAAGAAATATGAAATAATCTAGCACCATGTTTGGGGAGAATTGGGAGCTCCATGGGTGTTCATTTCTTTCCCAATATGACATTATCCATATGGTTCCTTTTCCAAATTTCTCATCCCCTCCATCTTTCCTGAACTCAGTAATTTCAACCAAAATGGGATAGCACTTGCTGCTTCCCGAATCTTGTTCTACAGGGCTCTGCCAACAAGTCTTACTGAAGTCAGTGATATTTAGAAATAAAGCAGTCTTCCAGCATGGAGGATTACCTATGCACCATGTTAAATAACTGCCCTTGTCCATACCTCTGCTGACTGAAGGAGCAAACGGCTGTGTGTCTCAATGTCAAAGTGTATAGGATTAGGTAAGTGAGGTCCCCTCACAGTCACTTGAATATTGGTCTTCTCCGTACTCATTAGGACTGCAAATTCAGACAGGGCTTTCAAAGCCACAATAGTATCCTATTGAGGGAAGGAAAACAATGACACAGGTAAGCAAACCTTGGGGACTCTCAGGGTAAACTCAGCAGGTAGGAAACCTACATGCTGGAGCCGGGGAGGCCCAGAAATCATCCGCAGAATAGGAGTCCTGGATCAGTCACCAAGCCCGAGAAATGGTTACTATGCATGGAAAACTGATTTATTCCACAGATATTAAGCTCATGGGAGGGAAAATGAAAATTAGCAATACAAACGTTGATTTATACTGCTAAACTTTTCAACTGCCAAGAAATTTTATGAAGTCATGGAAAAATTGCAACAGCAGGTTCCTATTGTGTATATACATATACACATACATATATGTGTGTGTAGTTTTTAAAAAATTACTCACCTGAGTAGATGCAAAACCTCCCAGGCTATTTCTCTGTCTGCTTAGCCACCTCATAACTGGGAAGCCTTCAGATACCTTACGTTGCCTGAAGTGTGAGAGCAGTGCATACGCTGCCACTTCAATGTCCAGGGAGCGTGGCTGCCAGGACTCAGAGAGTTTAGCACCTGAAGATACCCAGAACCGCATACCTTCTGCAAGGGAAAAATAACCACATTCTGCTCAAACTCCCAGAAAATAGGTTTTATGTTATTACTGACTCCTACACTGTCAGAGTTCCACTTGGCTAGCTTAAATATATTTTTACATATGCATTTGTGTATGCCAAGCAAATATTTATGCACTTGCACAGGCATATGTATTAAAGCATACCCTTATGTGGATCTCTTTTTAAATTATTACAACTTATAAATTTTTATCCTCTTCCTTTCACGTATATTTAAGAATGTTTTGATTAAAATATTTTTCCTAAGAAAAATCCCATATGTTTGGCTCAGAAATAACGGCTATAAATAAAAGGCATATTCTATTCCAGAAGATAAGGTGCATAACTTATCTGAGACAACCATCACCAAAATATGTAAGGACACATTGGGAAGACTCCTATTCTGGAAATCTGTGATTAACCAACTCTGATGATCTGGGAAACCTCTCCATTTTGTACTATTTGAAAATTAGTGTTGTTAAATTCAAACTCCAAGCCCCTAACAACAAAAAGCAAACAAAGACACACCAAGAACCAAAGCCCCTCAACAGCTTCCCCTAGCAATCTCCCTGATCTGGCCCCTGGAGGACTATCCTCCTTGAAGTCCCTCCCCCTCTCTCAAGCATTATCCATTGGTGGTGACCACACTCAGGTGGAATGTCAAATGACTACTTTCAAGCACACAAGAATGCCAGGCACTGACTACTTCAGCCTCTAGCTGGCTGTAGCATGGACAGTAAGGCTGCCAGCAGAATCAATGCTATTGGCAACCACATCGTATTTCTACAGTGTCAGAAGCCTCTATACATTTTCTAAAGTTAGTCCTTGCTGAATGCATAGATGTTTGAATCAGGGCACATTACCTAAAATGATTTTTGTCCATTTACCGCAACAACCACCACCTTCTCTCTCTCTCTCTCTCTCTCTCTCTCTCTCTCTAACACACACACACACACCTGGATACTTGACTGTAATATTTTAGTAATAACCATACTCATATTTTTTAAACTGGTTTAGTTCAAACATAGCTCCCCATTCAAAAATAAATCTATGCAATCCACCTACACACAGCTTTTTTTTTTTTAATTTCTCTCAATTAGCGTTTTAGCACTTGTTCTATGTCAGGCTATGTCCATTATCTAATTTAACTCTCACAGTAACAAATGTTATTGCAACTTTGTAGGTATGTGGGGAAACTGAAGCTCATAGGAAAAGTGTTGCGCCAGAATTTGAACCCATAACTCCCCAGAACCCCAAATCTTAAGAAACAAAAGAGGGTTTTATAAAACAAAAATGGTACCAAGGACTCAAGGGTAACTGACATAGAACAGAACACACTGCGAAGAAGGAGCCATGGGCCCAGCACAGTAGCCTAGCACCTGACGTCCTCGCCAACACACATGCCGGGATCCCATATGGGCGCCAGTTCTAATCCCAGCAGCCCTGCTTCCCATCCAGCTCCCTGCTTGTGGCTGGGAAAGCAGTCGAGGACGGCCCAAAGCCTTAGGACACTGCACCCGTGTGAGAGACCCAGAGAAGGCTCTGGGCTCCTCACTTTGGATTGACTCAGCTCTAGCCATTGCAGCCGCTTGGGAAGTGAATCAACAACGGAGGAACTTCCTCTCTGTCTCTCCTCCTCTTTGTATATCTGACTTTCCAATAAAAATAAAATAAAATAAATCTTTTAAAAAAATGAGAAGGAGGAGGAGTCACTTAATCTCTGAGATTCTACACGAAGCTTCTTGAGAGCCCAGACCAGCGGCCCTATCAAACGCATCCTGGCCTCATTCTGTGTTTTAGTTCTCATCTCACTCATAAGACCCAACTGTAATTAAATTCACATTCAGCTTGCAAAATCTTTTCACATAATTTATACACTTCATAATATGAATGGTCCATCAACCTCACAAGGGTCCCACAAATTACCTTTTTGTTCCGCTCTCTCAGTCAGCATATTCAAAGCATTTTCCGCTTCAGGACTCCCCACTGATGACAATGCATATGTTATAAGAGCCAGGGTATAATTGTCTCCAATTCCTTCTCTGAACTGCGACTCCAAAAATAGGATAGATTTTTGCACATCAATATTAGGCTGTGAAGAGAAAAACAAAGGACCATTCCTTAGAAGGAATAAGAAATAAGAAACAGAATTTTGACAGTGTTTGTCCCCTGAAAATTAAACCCAGATTAGGGCAGAAAATCTGGTTTACAAGATATTTCTCACATTTTATTTCAGATGTTGACATCCTACGTTTAGAGAAAAGTTCATCTCCAGCCCAGTACTGAGCCAGGAAAATGGTGGGAGCTTAAGCCAGAGAATACTATTGCTAATCTTGTGAAATGCAGGCAGCATCAACAGTAAAGCCGTTAGCAGGACAGCTCTGGAGCCAAATGGAGCCCATTAGCTTAACTTTCCACACACACTCCTTCCTATCCAGGCATCCTCGTCTGCTTAGCATACTGTTGATGGTGTCGGTGCACTCTGCACTGCATTAGCAGACATTGTACTTATTCCCATGACATTGTAGAAAGAAAAGGTAAAATTCTTCACAACTTACACTTGCTAGAACACATTGCCAATTTTATGTTTTTCTTAAGATTTATTTATTCATTTGAAAGAAAGAGAAAGAGAGAGAGAGAGGAAGAGAGAGACAGATCTTCTACCACTGATTCTCTCCCCCAAAAAGTCACAACGGCCAGCACTGGGCCCATCCACAGCCTGGAGCCAGGAGCTTCCTGCAGGGGTTCAATTACTTGGCAATATTCTGCTGCTTTCCCAAGCACATCAGCAGGAAGTTAGATGGGAAGTGGAGTAGCCAGGAATCCAATGGCTCCCATATGGGATACCAGTGCCCAGGCAGGAGTTCTTACCCAAGCATACCACAACACAGACCTTCACATCCCAAATTTCCAAGGAATTGTATTACCCATAATAAAATATGTATTGGCTTTCTTTACCAATAACAAGGGAATTTCCTTATTTTGAATGAGTTAATATTATTATTTCCAAGTTCAGATTTCAAATGTTATATAAAACTGAAAAGTTCCATGTAAGTTCTCAGATACACATTTCACCTACTGAGCTTTGTCTTCCTTGGGTTTCTCACTTGTCATTTATTAAGTTAAAAACAAATACCTGATACTTTCTGTATTCCAGGAGAGCAGTCACAATATAGGCCGTGAGCATCACAGGACCATTGTTACCACCTTGCAGCTCTCTATGAATCACTCTTCCTGGTTCCCAAAATTCACCATTGGATTTTTGATGTCCTTTGAGCCAAGTATATGTTCTTTGTAGCACATTCTGATCAATATCTATATATGGATCAGCCTCAATGAAGCATTTTAAGACAAAAGCTGACAACCTTGGTGAAAGGGGGTAAATAACAAAACAAACAAAAAACACCATGATTTATAAGTCTTGCAAATCCAACTGAATAAACACAACATTAACACTTATCTCCCTCATCAGAAGATTTACCAGAAGAAGAATCACTAAAGAAGAAACAAAGGAAAGAAAGACAGAAAAGAGAGATTTTGTAAAGAACTTGCCTAATAAGAATCCCTGGCTTTCAGATCAACTCACAAAACATCAGATGTGAGAAACAAATAAAAAAAACCTTATAAATCATCTAGTTCAACCTCATTATTTTACAGATTGAGAGTCTGCCACTCTCAGAGTTAACTCCAAGATTTTGAATTGTCTTTGCGTTGTTCTGGGCATTTAACAAAAATCTCATACAACCTCACTTGGTCCTAAAGCCATGGGTGAAGCATGCTTGCTTGCTTGAAGTGCTTTCTATATTCAAGCAGCATTTGGGATTGCAGGTGAGAAAATGGACATGCTTCCTCCCCTACAGGCCAGGAGTTGGTAAACTGCATCCAGTGAGCCAAATACACCTGACCAAAATTTAGCCTTCAAGCCAAAAACAGAGCAGGCCACTGTCAGGCCACTAACACGACCACTTCAGAATGGTTTTCCAAGAAAGAAAGGAATGCAGAAGAAGGTAATAAAAGGACATGCAAGAAAGGTTCCATGTGGCCCAAATGCCTACACATCTACTACCTATTCCTTTACAGAAAAAGTTGGTGAATTCACTGCACAGAGGGGAAGAGAACACTGGGAAATAAGATTCTGGAATCTACTTATGGATCAATATAGTGACTCATCTAGAGGGACTGTGAAACCCATTTTTCATCATATCAAAGCTTCAGTGTGGTGCGCATTACTACCATTCAGCAATATCCAGTTCTCTTTTACTTTGAATACACAGAGTAATTCACTTCTCTGCTCCCTTCAAGTTAAGCCATGGAGCTAGCACTGCTTATAATGGAGTAGAAAGGTTACACTCTGACTGAAGCCTTCAGCAGCCAGTGCTAGTATTGTTGCCTCTTCCATAGGCCCACTGGTGCTGCCAGGGGGAGCTCACCTCCTTGGGAAGGTGAGCTGCTGGCAGCTGAAGCAAACACCACAGAGCCCCCACTGAATCACAGTGAAAATGAAGCATGAACAAAAAGCCTCGGAAGCTTGTTTTCTGAGTAATAGGAAGAAGGCCACTTGTTAATTCAGCACATCTCTAATCTGACCAGGCTTAGGCAATCTTTCTCTGAGTGAAACATGAAATGCATGTAAATGGAAAAGGAGAGAAAAGTCTTTCACATGAACAATCAGCTATCCAGAAGATTCCATTCTGAAAGAAATTCTTGATTTTTTAATTTCCATCACTGGTTTTTGTTGTTGTTGCTTTTTTAAGATTTTATTTATTTGAAAGGCAGAGTTAAAAAGAGAGTGAAAGAGAGTGAGGGAGAGTAAGAAACGCAACATTTTCCAACCACTAGTTCACCTCCCCATATGGCCACTTTAGCCAGGACTGGGCCAGACTGAAGCCAGGAGCTTCATCCAGGTCTCTCACAAGGTGCAATGGCCCAAACACTCGAGCCATCCTCTGATACTTTCCAGGTGTATAGATGGGGAACTATATCACAAATGGGACAGCTGAGATTCGAATCAGTGCCCACATGGGATGCCAGCATCACAGAAGGCAGCTTTACCCTCTACTCCTCAATGGCAATCATCCATCACTATTTATGACAAAAAAAAAAACTTAAAGAAATCACATTTGCTGTATTGACATAATACATACTATAATCATGTCAATTAAGAAGGATATTACATCAATTAGTCAATGCTTCTTACTGCACAATCATAAAATTATTTTTATTGTTCCTTTTCCCATATATAATAAAATGGTATTTCTGCCCATCTTTTTAAAACAATGTCACCTTGTTTCCTTAGTGCTTTAAAAGCATATATGAAAATGAGATTCCCTTCTTAAGTCAGGATATTGGAAAAGCAGCCTCCACATCCACAAATCTTAGACGACAGCTGACTTCATAGCCAGGGTGACATAGTGAGAGTCAGCTCCAAGACAGATTCACGGCAGCCAGCAACTCTTACCAAGTGCTCCCAGAAGGATCACTATTCCCAAAGGCACTGAAGGAGCCATCTTCCCTTTGATAGAGAAGTTCTCTCTGATAACCTGTAGACACAAAACCAGACAGATATTTGATGTCATCGATGTCCCACAAAAGAAAACTTCTACATATGACTTCATGTTGAGAAATACGGGCAGAGAAGGAGAAAGAAGATGCCAAATACATACTGAATGTTGAGTGCTTTCTATATTCAGTACTGTAAGAAATTTAAAATAACAGAACTAATTCTCCACCTGCAATGTCAGCATCCCTTATGGGCACTGGTTCAATTCCCAGCTCCACTTCTCATTCAGCTCTCTACTTATGGCTTGGGAAAACAGTGGAGAATGGCCCAGAGGCTTAGGCCTTTGCACCCATGTGGGAGACCCATAAGAAACTCTTGACTCCTGACTTCAGATTGGCTGAGCTCCAGGCTTTGCAGCTATTTGGGAGGTGAACCAGCAGATGGAAGATTCTCTCTCTGTCTTTCCTTCTTTCTGTAAATCTGCCTTTCAAATAACAATGAATAAATCTCTTTACATATATATGTATGTATATCTGCTATATACATATATAGCAACTGACACAGATATAAATTAAAAAAAAAAACCTTTTTTCCGTTCATTGGTTCATTTCCCAATCGGTGCTAAGGGCCAGAGCTCAGCCAAGCCAAAGCCAGAAGCCCAGAAATCCACCTATTCTCCCACCAGATGATCCACAGGCCTAACTACTTTAGCCACCATCCACCATGTACCTCAACACATTAACAGGAAGCTGGTTGGAAGTGGAGCACTGGACAAGAACTGGTACTCCAAAACATACGGGATGTTGGCCTAGCAAGTAGAGGCTTAACTTTTGAAACCCAATACCAAAACATCTCAAGCAGAATGTACAGGCTAGGAACTATAATACAAAACATTCAATTCAAATTAAACTTTAAAAAGTACTGTAGCAAGAATGACACATCTAGCCACTTAAGAACAAAAAAATCAAATGTAGAGACTTAGTTAACTCTAAATTTCACCACAACATCTTCCATGTTTAGGTATCTGCTACCTAGGAAAAATACCATCTAGTATCATAATTAATATTTAAGGCAAAAATAGAAAACAAAAACACTTTCTACTCTCAGGGCAGCAAAAGAGAAGGAAAACAAAAATTAATCCAAGACAGTTGATCTTAAAGTTTTGGCCAATTGAAGTAAACAACAACAAAAAAATAGATTTGCCTTCCCAATTTCATTCAAAACAAATAATGAATAAATGACAGGCTTGATGACAGTAATGAAGAGTCACCATAGATGCTAACTAAAGCAGACTGATTGATTAATCTACTTTGATCAAGACAGATGCTTCATATTTTCAAATAAGTGCTTACAGCAAATGATTATAATTAAGAAATAACTGGTTCAAAATTGCAGAGAACTGTATACAAGTTTCCTACAAGTCCAGTGTTTTGAAAAATCACAGATCAAACACTGTGAACTTCAGCAAACAACTCACAATCAAGTGACTTCCTGAAAATGATGCTAACATTATCATTTTTGAAAAATATACACAGGAAAGTTCCCAGCTTAAAGCATTAGCAATAATTCTCTGATATTCCAGATTCCTTCTGGAAAATTACAAGATTCCACTCTTAGCAGGTGAGAGTGCACAGTAGGAGCTTTACAGCATGCCTGTTGTAGAGTAGGAAGATATATTCACTTATAAACTGTTGAATTCAATCCGTAGGAAATCTAACACATTAATTTATGAATGCCAGATTTTAGAAGCATCAATGACCTTAAGTAATTATTCATATTTGACCAGTAAAACCTGAGCAGGAATGCTTTAAGATTAGTTGATGTGCTCTTTTCATTGAGCCTCAAACTTTGCTCCTTGAGCCTTCCTATATGAAATGCTAAATCTGAGTAACTGATTGTAGCAACAAAATGTGTAAAAAATAACAAGGGATGATGTTTTTTGATGATCTTGATGACTATGACAAAAGGAATAGAAAGTGATGATAGAATTTGGCTCAGTTTAAAGAATGGAGAATTCAATTATAATTCTTATATTTAAACTGAAGCATCACAGCAGTCAGCCCTTGTTCCAACACCGGCCAGGTATAAGGATTTTTGGAGCCCTCCACTGATACTAACCCAGGCCATTCCCATAACAGCTCTATGATGTTGATACTACTATTCTCCCCTTTCAGAGATAGTGAGCATGCAACTCAGAGGATGTAAACCATGAGCATAAATGGTAGTGAAGCTGGGAATTAACCCTTCTCTGGCTCTACAGCCACTGTCACAGTTATTCACAGAGCTCTTCCAATGAATATTCATGATAATATATGAAAAGCTCTTAGTACAATACCTTTTTGGATTGCAAGCTCCCAAAAAATAATAGATATTAGTTCCTAGCATAAGTATAAGACAAGGTTTTCTAAAGATGAGATTTTAAATACAGCAAAATTTAAAACCAATAAATATGACCAATAAAAATAGTTTTTAAACTTCACCACAGTAAAATACACTAGGCTAAGTTAAAGCACATAAAGTATGTATAAGATAGATATACAAGTAACAGCATCAACATTAATATATAAGTGTGTGTTAACATATTAATATATTCACATATAAAGAACTTTTTAAATTTAGGAGACAGATTTTTATATTTTGTAGAAAATACTGAACAACAAACAACCAAGATATACAAATAAAGATGGACTATATGAAAATAATGTTTAATTTTATATTAGGAGAAATACAAATTTAAGATACACTAAGATACAATTTCCAGCGCATCAGATTAGCAAAGACTCAAAACTTTGACTCCTCATTCTGTAGAGTACACTGTAAGAAAACCAGGGCTCATTGATTGCTATAGGAAATTCAGATTGATACAATGGTGAGGTAAGAGACTATCTTTTCCCTTTAACACTTAAATCCCACTCCAGGAGTCTGTGCTGAAATATACCTACAACAGCACAAAAACATAAAGAGAAAATGATTCATTGTCACATTACTTGTAATTGTAAAATGTCAGAAATAACCTACGTGCCCAAATTCAGAGAGTCAACCCAACACAAGAGTAGTGAATAGCTTTGAAATAAGAATGAAGAACAACTCAACGAACTGCTGCTGGACAATTTTCTGGGTAGAAAGTTAAGGGAAAAAAGAGTAAGTCTACAGTAGCCCACATACAGTATACTATCTTGTGCAGAAATCAAGTGAAATAATAAGACATACATGGGCATGCTTATTTCTGCAGACCAAAAAAAATAATAAACCACAACTAATTAAGCAGGTTATATACAAGGAACAGGGAAAAGGACAAAATAGAAGGAGATTCATTCCTTTGGGTAAACTTTCTACAGTGTGATCTTTAGAAGCCTGTTAATGTCCTCTATATTTAAAAATAAACCATACAGGAAACAATAAATGGTAGAATTATTAAACTACCCTAGTTTATGTTATTATATTTTAGTTTTGTAAAACCTTGAAAGAATACAGCATATAACTTCTTCAACTTTTCAGAGGCTGCCAGAGATCACAGAAAAGCATAATAATTTTTAGCATTCACAAAGGAAATTAGCAGAATCATCTAAGACTGTTTCTTTTTAATTCAAAAAAAATCATTCACTAATGATCATTTTAAGTGCACATTTAATCTTACAGAGGAGAAAAAAAGGAAAAGAAAGAGGAAAGTAGTATAGAATGAAGAGAAAAGTGAGGAGAGAAGAGAGCAATAGAGCAGGGGAAAGGAGCTGAGGACAGCGGAGAGGTGAGGCGAGGAGAGGAGAGTAGAAAAGAAGAGGAAAAGGGAGGGAGAGAAGGGAAGAAAAGGCACAGGAGCGGTGAGATTAAGAAGCCATGTTTGGGACTCTCTACCACTATAGGAGGCCCAACCTCAGGAAAGGACCATGTGCCTCTGATTCCCACATCATGCCAGCATCTGCAGCTCCAAGTATGAGCATTTGTGAAATGGGTCGGAGATGAGATCACGGAGATGAGATCAGTGCTTATGGAAATTACCCTTCAGGTGGCTGAAATCCAACATTCCCCATCAACATCAACAACTAGCACCATTCTTCCACTAGATGCAGCCAGCCCAGAGGAAAAGAAAAGTCACATATAATCTCCAGTTGTGGGAGAACTTCTTGAAGCATTTTAGATAAAAGCAACTCCCAGCTCTACTCCATGGAAAACTAAAGCCAAGACTCAGTCCATGTGAGAGTCTCTCTGGGGATACCCTTCTTCATGGTACCCCAGTCAGGCATCATTGCAGAATGCGTGGCTGTTTGCCCTTCAAATAACCCAGTTAATCAAACCTAATTTTCACTCCATTAAAGTTCACCCACTATAATATTTGTTGCTAATACAAGAATTCAGTATTCCAATATGGTCAGGTAAGTTGGAAAGTTTTCACCATTGGTGAGAAAAGAAAAATCACGACTTTCTCCAAGAGTTAATAAAGAAATGAAAGGATCATCCTTAGTAGTAGCTAATGGCTAGGTCTTGAGTTTGAAAAAACCAACATAATCAATGAATTACCAAATGCCTCTGAAAACCAAAATACAGAAGTCCAGAGGCTGCAGGGCTGTAATCCACAATCATTCCATTTATGAAAGACTGGATAAAACAACATCCTTTACCAGGTCTAGAGCCTTTTCAGAAACAATGATAAGTGCAAAATTGTCAGGATTGGTCATAATAAAGAATAAAATACTGTGCATAGAAACACATAGAAAAGTAGCATTCTAAGCACAAACTGACTTGATTTGCCTCAAGTGTCAAAATCAAATGTAAATAATACAAGTCAAATTAGCTCCATGTGACTATATCAAGCACTTGCTCTGGTTTAAAAATAAACAAATAAAATAAAATAAAATAAAATAAAATAAAATAAAATAAAATAAAATAAAATAAAATAAAATAAAATAGCTGGTACAAATACCCTGTGTGTTGGGGTTGTGGCACAACATGTTACTTCTCCTCCCTGTGCTTCCAGCATCCCAAATTCTCACTGGTACATTTCCCAACTGCTCCACTTCTGATCCGTCTCTCTTCTTAATGGCCTGGGAAAGCAGTGGAAGATGGCCCAAAGGCTAGTGACCCTGCATCCATGTGGGAGACCAGGAAGACGCTCTCAGTTTCAGATCAACTCTGGCCATTGCAGCCATTTGAGGAGTGACTAGCAGATAGAAGACCTCTCTCTCTGTCTCTCCCCTCTCCTTCTGTGTTTAATGTGTTTTTCAATTAAAAATAAAGATTTTAACACACACACTTTAAAAAAAAAAAAGAAAGAAGTGTTCTGTGTGCTAAAAGAAAAGGAGCTGTCACCAGCTTCCTATGAAATGGAATGGAAAGTGAAAATCTTCCAGGCTTTACAGGTTCTTCACTCTTGTATTCTAGGGATGGCCACAGGCAGCCACAGAATCCTGAAGCCCCCTCTGTCCTTGTCTTCAGCTCAATAGAGAAAATACATGCTTTCAACTAGAGTTGATCTGAGTCCCACTTGAAAAACTGCAGGCACACTGAACATTTGAAGAAAGCAAGTGGTTTAAACTTTATTTCCAATCTTTATCAAAAACAGTTCTCATTTTATGGTTCGACTTTTCTTTTCCAAAGCAAAAGATTTTGTTCAATTTTTAGCCATTGTTTTGACCAAAAGGAAAAAAAAAAAAGAAAGAAAACAATGGGTTAGGTTACAGGGCTCCTGGGGCCAAGTATGATTTAAGTAAAACAATGCACTGTTCATAAACGACATTTAAATAATACAGCCATGACTCACACCAAAGCCACTTAATTTCTTTAAAAATAAAAAACAATTACAGTATATTTAAAGGATCTTGGCAAAGGTGATGGCGAATGAAAAATAAAAAAGCCTCTGAAATAAGACACCATTTTAACAAGGAAAAGCCTCATGGAAAGGCACCTCATTCCACCCACTGGAAACGTAATCAGTTCAGTGTGTGAGATGATACACTCGGAGGCTCCCTTGTGCTCACTTCCTCAGCTCAAAGAGGACACTTTGGAAGCACATGGACACTCTTCCTTGCTGATCAGAACTCGGTAGACCAAGTGGGACCTGATTGTGTACAACCTCTGGTTGAGGAAAAAGCACATCAGACTTTCAGGTCCAACCTCCACGTGAGAATCACAGGCAGAAAGCAACCCAGAGAGTGGAGCTTTAGATGGGGCCAGAGAGGGACGGCAAGTTCAGATCATTCAGAGCCTTGTAGGCAGAGGCTGCGAAACCCCTGGAGGATTTTAAGCAAGGAAGTTGATGTGATCTTGACATGTTCAAAAGATTCCCTTTACAATATGTAAAGAATGCACGGAAGGGGTACAAACAGAGAAGCAGACAGTTGCTCAGGAAGCAACTGGTGAGGTCCAGGTGGACAATGCTGCTTTTCAATGGAACAATTAGCAGGCAGATTGAGAGATGTGGAAGAATTTCACATCTGCTTACAGAAGTAGAATAAACAGGATTTGCTTGCAAATTTCAGATCCTAACTCCCTAGGTACAGGCAACTGACTCTACTATAGTTATATATAGTTATATAGTTCTAACTATTTAACTACGTGCCTCGATAGTATTCCTGACTCCAACTCATCCTTTGTGTGATCTCACCCAAAGGAACTCTCAGGGCCTTATTGTCACCCTACTGCTCACACAGTCCAACTTCACAGTCTACCCTGCGGTATTTCCACACCAACAGGAATCTATGTTTCTCTCTATGTGTCAGAAGTCCCATCAAGACCTCTTGCATGCAGATAAGCAGCCTGGCCCAAATCTCTGGTGTTCTTTCCCTGCTGTTGCACCTAGCAGCTCTATGAATCCACAAGTTTGATGAATAGCACATATCATACAAATCCTATAGATAGAAGAACTCAGTCATAGAGAGTGCCTGTTAAAGGTCCCCTAAATAAGAAATGCAACAGCAACAACAACAAAAAAAAATTGTTACATAGGAAATGCAAAACTAGGACTGCAACTCTGGCTTGGTTTTTAAAGTATTTCAGGACATCAAAATTGCATCGTTATTGTTAACTAAAGTCTCAGGTGCAGATGTCAGGAGCGTAGACTTGGGGCCAGCCACCGAAACCCAGTCCTAGCTGTGCCATTTACAAGCTGTATGATCTTGGGCAAGTTACCTAATTTGTATGTATCTCAGCTTCCTCATCAGTAAAACCAGGCTCCTGCTGATAACCATGATAAGCAAAGTGAGATAGACAGGAAAGTGCTCAGAACCTGCCTGCCAGATAGTAAGCACCTAACTCTTACTAGTGACTGCTATGAGCCAACAGACAATGCAGCACATGTGGTGTTCACGGACAATCTCCACCTCCCAGGGAGGCAGAGGACACTCATCACTGTCATACAAGCATTTCTCCTCTCAGCCCCATCTGCTTGGTATTTTACATATCCCCCACAGCTCCTTGCCACACAATTCTGTCTCCCTTGCCAAACAGTGAATTACTCGAGAAGAAAGGTTTTACTCGAGACTCCTGGTCTCCTCAGCACTAGAACTGATGCTAGCATTAAAAGATATTTCAAAAATGTGTACTGAATTGCTTATTGATTCACATTTGTCAAGTTGCAAATTTCAGATCTTTCAATATAATCTCTTCTAGAAACTAACTCCTTACAACATTGCTAACAAGCATCTTAGGAGCACAAGCAGTTGGCCGAAGGAAGAATGGTGCCAATCGCCCACTGCCACCCTTCCCCAGACATTTCAATACAGCCTCATCTCCATCACACAGCAAAGATAAAAATCCATTCATTTAGAAATATAAGAACAATCTGAAGTGAACTCTGCCTGAAAAAAGAAGACTCTTCTGAAGTAGAAATAAAGTTCTGAAATGCTTACCTTGTCTCATGAATGCAAGGGTTTTTTCTTTCAAACTATCTGTCAGTTGTTTCTTTGTAGTCAGATAATTCAAAACATAAATATTTGGAGCAAAGTTAATCATGTTCTGTTCGCCACAGCCATAAGGCATTCGAATCAGAGAGGCCAAGCCATTGATGGAGGGACCAAGAATGTCTCCTGAAAGCACAAGAATTCAACTCCTTCAGTAAGGAGTAAACAGGTGCCTGTTGGTGGTAAAGACACTTCCAAGGAGTAGAGAAGGCACCTGACATAGGAGTAATATGATTAGTCCATAGCTTGAAACAGTTGAAAATTAACATAAACTTGCAGAAAGACAGATTTTTTTAATGCAGGGATACTGATCTTGTAGATTTCATAACAAGGTTGGAGATTTGAAGCTCAGTTAAAGAGATGTGGCATGAGTTAGATGAATATTTTTAAATCTTTTTGAAATTTGACTTTTAAAGAATTTTCATTCTTACACAGAAAATAAACACTTCATTTAAAATTTGTTACATTCATGAATCTCTATTCTTATTTCTAACTAATGCATCACAAACATTCGAGAAATGCTATTTCTTAAAATAACAGGGTCTGCAGTGCTTTCCAAAATGTTCTATTTAGTAACAACAAAGTAGAACAAACAAGTATAACTATCTCAATGACTCTCAAGATCAAAAAGAATGAGGATTACTCTTCAAAGCTAGTAATCTAAAAGTAAACAAAAATTGCTGCTGAAAAGACTCTTCTACTCTCATTCTAACACCACGACTCAAGGAAACAAGTAAAACTTTGGAAATGTGGAAGCTAAGTTCTGATTTTGATACACTGTTATTAAGCTGCATGAAGAGTAGCCTTCTAAATGATTTATTTTGAAGTTGACCACAGGGCCATTTCCAAATACCTACTGAAAATTTGACCCTAAAAAAATCAAGTACAAAAAAATGGAGAAAAGTATCTTCCATAAGAATAAGCCATATGCAAGCCAGTATGCACTTTAGTGCTAACACAGAGAAATAAGCAAGTTATATTATTGTCACTATCAGTCATACCTGTAATATTCAAAGTTAACAGAAACTTGGAGGTAGGTAGAATAGCATATCAGGTTAAGCCTCCACCTTCCACACTGGCATACCATATGGACACTGATTCAGGTCTTGGCTGCTCCACTTCTAACTCAGTTCCCTGTTAATACATCTTGGAAAGTCTATAACCACAAATTCATTCCTCTGTAAGGAGTAATGATATATACTTAAAAGTCAGAGGACTCTTTTGGATTTATGTATGAATGGATATGAACACATTACTGAACCTTTCAGCATGCCAACATTGTGGGAGATGCTTAAGCAGAATTTACTCTCACAAATCCTACACTGGAGTGCCAGTTGGGCTCCTGGCTACTCTGTACTCCTGATCCTGCACCTGTGAAGGAATGGATGATAGTCCAAGTGCTTGGGTTCCTGCCTTACCCAAGTTGGAGGCCAACATGGAGTTCTTGGCTAGCATTAGAATCAGTAATCTGAGTAATGAGTACTGAGAATCAGTAATCTAAGCAGATGGCCCAAAAATGTCTAGGGGCATCATTAATCCACTGAACTTTAATAGGAAAAGGGATAGAGGAAGGAGAAACTCCTTTTTTCCTGCCTCTTTGGAACATCTCACTTCACCTTGCCCCACTCTTGGAGTAGATTAGATCATCAGTTCCCCCAGGTTCTCAGGATTTCAGATTCAGAGTGAATTACACCCCTGGCTTTCCTGGATATCTGGCTTTAGATCATTAGATTTCTCAGCCTTCATAACTGGATGAGCAAATTCCTTCATGACCTTCCTCATCTCCAATTGCTTTTGTTTCTCTGGAGATCCTCATTCATACCTCATTTGTGTGAAGGCTAGGTTTAATTCAAAATGTAATAGGAGAGGTAACAAAAGTCAGTGGACAAATGTTTGTTGTAAAGGTTACTTGCATTTTGCACTGAAAAGTGCTCTAAGCAGTAGATCTCTCAAACCTTGCTTAACAAAATCACTCACAGAAACTTTTCAAAAAAACAGCAAGTATTTTCAAATATTTCATGAAAGCAAATATTATGAAAAATAATGCATGGATTCCAAAAACCATTTGTATCAAAATAAATCATTTAATTCTATGTTCCTGGTCTTCTATACATTCTCAGCCACAGCCCAAGGGAGTCTGACTTAGAAGGTAAACAGTCCAGACATTTGTCTTTTAACAAAGCTCCACAGAGGATTCTGACAGCCCCCAGTGGTCATCCAGCCACAGGAGCCTGAAGCTCTGTTCTTAGGAGCTTTTCCTTCCAGCCATTGGGAGCCTTGCTGCTCAAACTGTGGCTCTCAGACCAGAAGCATCACTACCTTCCACAACTTGTTAGATATGCAGCACCCCAGACTCCACCCAAGCTTACTAAACCACAATTTGCTTCTAAACAAAACTGCAAATGATTCACACACACAGTGAATATTGAGAGGAACTGGCCTGGCATCCATAGATCATTCACACGTTTGTTGAACATTGAAAGGAACTGGCCTAACATATATGATTTACTTCCCTCTCTATGGTCATAAACAGCTAAAATCCAATAAAAACTTTTAATATCTTCTTATTAAGATAAAAAAAGAAAATACGACTCTAAAATGAAAGAACAATATAAGGAGGGGGCTTCTAAAAGTTCAAGAGAATGGAATTAAAAGATAATGCATATTAGTCACGAATACTTTGGAGGTCCCCTCGTATATATCACATACCAATAAACCAGTAGGATATTGCTATACTCTATTCTTACCAATTACGTTGATCTGAATTCTTTCACTGCCACTGACTGTGTCAGGAGGAAATGAGAAACTCAAAGATTTTGTTGTAGTTCCTATCTTTTTATCAGTCAAGTCTAGTAAGATGGATTCTGAATATGATTTTTCTATTCCTTCAGCCTGTTGGAAAAAAAGGAACACAATTAACATGGCCATTATCCATCTATTTTGAAAGAATTACATGTATATATAAAGATAAACCTTAGGAGGCCTATCGTGTCTGAGGTTGGTGCACAGCTAGGTAAATGCCTCAAACTCTGTTAAGTAATTACTTCCTAGGTAAATTACACAACACATTTCATGGAGTGGTAATGAAAGTGACAAAGAAAAGGTAAAAACATGCTTAGAAAAACTCTCTGGAGAAGAGACTATTATTCTAAGACAAGAATTATGTATATGATCCTATATGTTTGACAGGGCTGGGATTTGAACCCCAGAACAAAGTAATAACCCACTATGGTGAAATATCTTTTTATGCAGATAAAAATATGAAAACTCTGTACAATTTCTTTTGCCTACACTGAGCAATTCCAAAGGTCCAAATCTTCATGACAATTTGATAACAACGTAGAATTCCAATGTAGATATTTGTAGATGTCAATGAATGACTGTATCGGACTCTTTACAAGAGAACTTTTGAATATTCTGAGAATGTAAAATTGTACAGCCATTGTGAGAAAGAGTACAGGAATTCTTCAAAAGAACTCAGAACCATCATAGCATCCAGCAGTTTCACAGCTGGGTATATATATCCAAGGGAAATGAAATCAGTCTGCCAAACAGACATTTACACTCCCCATTCAATGCAGCACTATACACCATGGCCAAGAAATGAAACAACTTAAGCATTCATCCACTGATGAATGAATGAAGAAATGTGGTCTGCATGCATAATGAATACACTTCAGCCATGAAACAGATGAAATCTTGTCCATCACAATAACACAGCTGGATCTAAATGAATATGTATGCATACATGTGTGAACGTATATGCAGAAATTATATATAGATAAAGTAACACAAGTGCAGAAGAGCAAGTACCACATGATCTCCCTCATACATGGATTCTGAAAAAAGTGATCTCATAGAAGTTGAGTGTAATGATGGTTACGCCTATGAAAGGAAAGGAAAGAGAGTGAATGAAAGAGGTCAATTGATGGGCATCGAGTTGCAGCTAGATAGGAGTAAGTTTGGAGATTCTATTGATCCTAGAGTGACTATAGATAATGTTAGTGTACTATACATTTCTCTATTGTAAAGGAAAGTAGAAGATAGGCTTTTCAATGTTTTTACCATAAAGAAATATTAACATTGAGGAAATGTGTATGTTTACCCTGATTGGGCACATTACACATAAACACATTATTAAAACATCATGTAGTAGTATTTTGTAAATATGTACACTTTCATATGTGTTTGAGTGGTGACAGTGATGGCAATGACAACAGAAGTGGCAGCTACAGCAGGTATGTGAGCAGGGTGGCGACCACGTGGCAACTGTTATCATTTGGGGAAGCTGCTGAACCTGATCACCATACTGAAAGGTGATTTTGTACCTACTCTGGCTGTGCTTAACAATGGCCAGAAATTCAGTAGCATTAACCACTTGAAGATAATCTGGCATCCCCACAAAAACAGGTTTTTAAGGAAGAGAAAGGGTTTGAGGTGATGCTGGTTACACAGCACTTGCACTTTGCAAATGTTAACCTGATGTGGGTTCTCTATAATCAACAGATTTCCAAGCAGCAATCAGTGCTTCACACACACACGTATATGCACCAAAATTTCTATGTGATCAATTGCATGAAGCAACTATAGCTTTTAACATAGGATCTGGAAGCAAAACCCTTACTGAATGTTTTGCATATGTGGCTGGATGTCATGAGAAAGCAAAAGAATTCATCACATTAAAAAGTTAGTAGGTAATTTCCTAAGTAATATCAGAAAGGACAATTCAATGCCTCAGTCCTCAGGATGAGTGCAATTGACTATGGGGGAATGGAAGAATGGATACATTAAAGAAACTCCTTATGAAGCTATTCATGTAAGAGCTGAAGCTCTTACTGTGCCCCAAGCACTTACAGACCACTCAAAGCCTAGGAGAAAATTGAAGTTGCCAGTGTGTCCCACAAGTGGGAGCCAACTGTTCAAGCAGGTGACAAAATACAACACAACAGCATCAAAATGAAACCTCTGATGAGCATCATATATGTGCCTTTAACAGATTTTATTAAAGCAACTCTCCATGTGGAAGTAACTCTACTTTCTGTTCTTTCTTCTTCCACAAATGCAATATGCCATAAGAGCATCAGCTTGACCAGCCTGTCATGATCAGATTTATATAAAGCGGAGGCATCACGGCTTGTTTTGTATTGGCTACACTACTGCTTTCAACATGAAAGCTTATGATTTGGTAGGGCTTTCTAATCTTCAAGAAGGCACATAGCCAACCTGGTAGAGGAATGATGCAAAGTAGATATGCTGATATTATTCCTTCCACATGTTCACAATTACTTTCAAATCCTAAGAGTTCTACAAAATGGAAAACTTAATTTGCAAACATTTTCAAAACTCACTTTCCTCTTCATGGACACAACTCTGTTCTGATATTAATTCATCAGATTTCTTTGTGATGGAGTACCATCATCATTCACAAGTTAAGATTCATGGCATTAGCATATACGTTAGATTCTACTAAGAAAACAGAGGTGACAGCACTGGCATTGTGGTACAACGGGATAAGCTATTGTGTTTGAAGCTAGTATATCATTTGGGCTTCAGTTTGAATTCTGGTTGTTCCATTTTCAGTCCAACTCCCTAATAATGTGCCTTAAAAAGCAATGGAACACGACCCAAGCACTTGGACCTTGCCATCCACATGGGAGACCAAGATGGAGTTCCAGGCTTCTAGCTTTGCCCCGATCCAGCACCAAGTGAACCAGAAAATGGAAGCTCTCCACTCCATGCCATTCCAACTCTACTTACCAACAAAACTTTGCCTTTCAAACAAAATAAATAAATCTTTTTAAATTTTAAAGAAATGGTAAAGAAAATTTTATCAGTGACACATTGATCATTCAGTAGCATGTTATTTAACTTTATGTCTTTGTAAATTTTCTATTGTTTCTTCCTCTTGTTGATTTTGTTTGATTTATTTATTTGTTTTATTTGTTTTATTTGATTTTATCTTGTTGATTTTCATTTAAGGGGATGTATAGCAACTGTGTAACAGAGCCTATCATACTCAGATGTGAAGATACAATGCAGTACACATCTCTACTTCCAGATGGACTCCCAATGAAACTGGTAACTATTAACTATGTGTTGACGATAGGATGTGGGACTCTACCTACAATCAGGAAACACTTAAATAGCAGAATGATGGGCTTATGACTTTTATGAAAGATTATACTATTATAATGATATAGGGGAAATTGTTGGGGGGTGGGAACTTACGGAGTGAGGAAGGGAAATTCCAAAGCCTATAGAACTGTATCATAAAATTATAAAATAAATGAATTTTAAGAAAAAAGTTGAGCTTTCTTTTTTAAGCTTTTGATGGAATGTCATAGAAGAATCTGTTAAAGGTACAAGGTGTTGCTTTGTTATCTTTTTACAGCTAGGCATTTGTAAATATCGAAAATTAAGATGGCTGATGAGGTCCTATAAACAACAGCTGCCCAGAGCGTATGTAACTGACATAATTCTTTCTTCTTCTCTTTAAACATGATAAGAAACTTGTAGTGTAGTATTAGCTTCTCTGTTTCTAATTGGCTGCTGACAACCTAAATGAATCTAACACACTGTATAAGCTGCCTTGCAGGTGCTACACAGCTTAAGTGATGCTGCTTTGTCAAATACAGTTCAAACCAAAATCTTTAAAAAAATCATGAAAGAGTCTTTGTAGTCACATTCATGATTAAATTTCAAAAAGAAATGAACAATTCTTTCTAAGACAGTGTGTGTTTCTATGTTACAGATGTATGTAGATTTACATGTAAAACATACAGATGTCAAAATCATCAAGCACTTCCAAGAACGTAGACAGCCTGGTATGATAGCCAACAAATTTTACCAAGAGAAAACACATCTTCTGTTTCTGTCCGAGGTATACATTTCCATTTTGCTTATTTAAGACTAAGTATTTACCTTTACAAAAACCTTCTGAGTGATGGCATCAGAAGCATTGGCTGCAAAAGCTGTTACTGTGATAGGAATTTCTCCCAGATGTGTTGGTCTGACAGGGAAAAGAACAGTCACCCCATCCTCACTGGAGACCAGAATGGTCTGTTGGTATCCTGTGGCATTCATTTCATTGGAAGTCATTAAAATATCAAATTTGTCACTTTTTTCGATGGTTATCTTAACCTGGAAGAAAAAGAAATATGGAAAGTTTTGTATAAAATAAGTGCTCTTCAGTAGAGATTTTTATCACCACTTTACATAGTATTAATCTGTGAGTTTCAAGATTGGAGATTATTAGAAAAATATTCAACCCAGATGATGAAGGCTGTCAGAAAAGACTTCACTTCTTTTCAAGACTTTACTTCTCTATCTCCAGATATCTGGAGGAAGGACACCTTTAGCTTCATTTCCAGTCCTCCCACTAATATAAAACTTATTGCACAAAGCCAATGAGTGCTAAGACTGCACAGAAAAGCTGTTCCATTTGCTGTTATCACTATCAGCCTTCATTTAGCTTTGTCTCCCTTAGAGACACTGGTACTATTAAGAAACAGTGAGACAAACACACATAAGGATCCCTGCTGGAATGATTGCAAGGAAAGCGCAAGTCAAGCCTGAAGCAGATCTTGATGGTAAACTCCAATAAGGCTGCCAATCTCACCCAGACAGCATTTGTCTAAGTTTACATTTTATTAATCATATTCTCCATTAAATTGTATTTGCTGGGAACTAGTGCACTAGACACTGAAAGTGACACTTCTGATTCCAGATATTTTGCACATGAAATTGCATCGGATTGAATAAATTAAGAAGCAAAATTGGAAAATAAAAACAATATATAGATACAGTGTTTAAAGAAGTTATAGCATTCTTGTGCAATAAGGTTAATTCCATATCACTATTCACTGTAAAGCATGGGCAGAATCAGCACAACTGACAGAACAGCATAAACAATAGACCTGATGCTCCCCTTCCAGGGAACTGACTGGCTAAGGAAACACCAGGCCCATGAGTCAGGAAATAAATCCTTGGGAATACAATGCACTGCTTCCAAACAAAGACTGCAAATGCAACAAAATGGGCCAGCGTCCTCCGGAAAGGCACCCTGGACCTGTGGGGATCCTTCTAGCCAGCTGCAGTGGACTTGGTAACAGCAATGAAAAGCAGTAACATGGTCTAGACTAGCAGGAAATGCACAGCAGCAGGAGAAAGGAATGCTGCAGAGACAGCAGGAAATGAAGGAACTACTGTGCAAAGAGTGAACCACAGAGTGTCTGGACCTTAATAAGCAGAAGAATTCACTGACCAGGATGATCTGCTTTCAATTCCCCAGAAACTAATGCATAGAAGAGGCTGAGAAGCCAGATGTCCAAATGTCCAAGCCAAATCCCACATGACTTTTCATTTTCCCATGAAGCAAAAATGATAAACAAGACCCTGAAAATATTACCTCAATGGCGTCCTGCAAGTAATTGAATAGGATTACTTCCAAAGCAAATTCTTCACCTCTGATAACAGAGTAGGGAAGATTCAAATAAATGAAAAATGGCTGAAAGGCTTGCAGCTGCAAATAACATAATGAGTACATCTTGTTATTCAAGTCAAAAGTATTCACATTTTACCCAGTTAAAGTAACCCTTACAAAACCTGTAACACTTGAAGCTTTACCTAGAAATGTCTGCTTACTAGCAATAGAATGCAAAAGCATGTAATCCCAGTAAATGCCAGGAAAATTATTTCATTTATATTATTAAAACAATCATCAACATATCTTACTAATTGCCAACTAAAAGTGAGGCATGTCATAAATTATTTCACATAATCATCACTATCCTACAAAAATGTTACACTCTTGTTTTACAGAAAAGAAAAAGAAGTTGGAAGCTTCTATAACTAGTATAAGATCATGTTGCTAGCTAGCAGAAAAGCCAGAATAGATCCCTCCCTGTCTGATGCCAAAGCAAGTTGTTTTTCTGCTGTCACCGACCGAATCTATCAGTTTTAAAAGGCACTGAGTGGGCCTGGTGTGGTGGCCTAGTGGCTAAAGTCCTCCTCTTGCATGCACCAGGATCCCACAGGGGTGTCAATTCATACCCTAGCTGCCCCACTTCCCATCCGGCTCCTGCTTGTGGCCTGGGAAGGCAGTCAGGGCCAGTCCAAAGGCATGGGACCCTGCACCCACATGTGGGGCTGGGAGTTGGCTTCCTGGTTCCTAGCTTTCCATCAGCTCAGCTCTGGCTATTGCAGCCATTTAGAGAGTGAATCTCTTTGCCTCTCCTTTTCTCTGTGGATCTGTCTTTTAACTAAAAATAAATAAATCTTAAAAAAAAAAAAAAGCCACTAGGCAAGCCAAACAGTCCCTGTGTTATTCCGGGGGGGGGGAGGGGGAACCTAACCACGGCAGGAAATGCTCTGCTTACTCCCTTTAACACATGCATGTGTGCTTTCTCCTTGGTGACGCAACTCCAACATTGTTGGCCAACTTGTGCAGATACATTGAGTCCCTCCCCGTTCTCTCAGGCCAAATCTTACTTAGTGTTCACTGTTGTTCTCACCTCTCATTGGCACCAGTAATTGCCTCGAGAGGTTGATCTGGTCATTGTGAAAGTGTCTCATATGATCACAATCACTGCAGACAGTGCTATTGGTGAAGGTCTGCAATGTTCAGGGCAGTCTCAGACAGTAAAGAATTGTCTCGTGCACCTAATAATTCTTCACAATTTCTTCAGACGTTTAGGTAGACAAAGTTTCTGATGTCCAATGTATACATTGCCGAAGTATATTTCTATACACACTGTATTTTTTCATGAACACATTTATAACATAAACTGAGAGAATGTTGTACTTTGTTCTGTTTATAACATGTACCAAAAGCTATTCACCACTTCAGAAAGTTACATCACCATAAGCAGCATCACTAAAGGTTTTTAAGTTGCTGAAGTAGCACACGAGTTACTTCGTCATTGTTGCTACACACAGGGAGATTCTGTGTTTGGTGTGAGCATTTAAATGTGCCACTCTGCCTTCAGGTGCAGCTGTAACTGATCACTTACATACGAATTATATTTTACTACACATTACTTTCCTTTTGTTTCTCCATAGTATTTCACTCAGGCCATCACACTGATGCTTTTGGAAAATCAGAATGTATGTAGGTGAGTTATATTTTTTTAAAAATTCATTTTGGGCTTTCAGAAAGGAAACACTTTTTGAAGGGGCTTTTGAAGAACTATATGTTAGTAATGATATAGAGGAACTAGGTGGAGGGGGAGGGAATTGGGGTGGGGATAAGGGAATATGGAACTGTACCATAAAATGATAATAATAATAATAAAATGTTAAAAAAAAAAAAGGATGAAAAAAGGGGGGGTTGGCTGAAGTGGTTGAGAGTTCCTATTCCCAGGACACTAGTGTTCGTTATATTCCTCTTGTCAGTCACGGCTACAGTAAACACAAGATGGAATTTGACCAAAGAGATGTGAAGGAATGTCAGCTGGAGGATATCTTTAGAAGTTCTGCTCTTCCTTGAAGAGGGACACATGGAAATTCTCTCTCTTTTTGTCTTTAGAAGTGGTTAGATCCACTCAGCAATGAACATTTCTATCCAAATCTTAATATGAGCCTAGCATATTGAACACAGTTTACATTCTAAAATATGAAGCACATGAAAAACAAAAGCAAAGCTAATAACTAAACTATAATGAATATCATAAGCAATAATTTTTTGTAAAGTCTCTAAGTAGCTGAAACTTTCTTAACCTAATATACTATAACCACTGACAAAGAGTCCTTTAATATACTACCTCCACTGGAGCAGCTGTTAGTCCAAGCCCTAAGTCCTCAGAGATGACAAAGGCATTAGCAACCCAAGAAGTGATGGAATCAGGTACAGTAACTTCAAATGCTTGGGTAGTCTTGGAGCTGAAGCAAAGATAAATATATACAATCACAAAACTAAGAATAGACATTTTTATAGTAAGTCAACATAATTTAACTACTTTTGGAAAAATTTTTATCTTCCAGGTCACAGATCTAAATTTAAAACTATCTAAAACATCCAGGCATAAAACAATAGATCCCAAATTCTCAAGGAATAGACCACAATGTGATACAATAATACATATCACTACATAGTCCAATATAATTTTTCTATATTTATCCTTAAAAGTGCCAGGCTACCTTCAGAATAATCACTACTTTTTATTAATTTTGTATGGAGAGTAAATACATAAGTTCAACTGTAACTACAATTCTATTTCTCTAAATATGCAGTTTTTGTCTGTATCCCTGTCATATGACTGATTGGTTTTGGGTTTTTTTTTTTAATTACATTTGATTCTTGTCTTATTTCAAATATCTCTAATTGGTTAACTGTAAAATACTGTATAGATTTGATTTGCTGCTTGGCTATTAGGTAAAACATGGTTTGCCAGTTAGGCTGGATTCCTTCCAACACATGCAGGCCCTCCAGCTGTGGCTCACTGGGAATGCCAAGAAAGGCCAGCTGGCAGCCCTGCCAGAAGGGAATCTCACACCATCACCCTCCCTGAACCACATCCACAAATACACTCCCAAAAATTCTTCTCCAATGAGATCCACCTATTTCACGAAAGTTAAAATTGCCCTTAATTTGAAGTGAGCCTCTCATTGATGGTACATTCCCAATAAGACATGTGGCTTTATTAACTACCATATTTAAAATCAATAAGCATCATTCTAAAGTTAAAAATATTTTGTCTACTTAGTCTTAATTAAACTATATTTTTACATAAATACCAGAAACAGGATCAAACTTATTGAAAACAAACACTAAGCAAAATATATATGGGCAAAATATGATAAATGTTTACCCCATGAGGGTGTCTAGCCAAATCCAAGTTTCTGGAAAGTGCTTCCTGATTCGTGGGTTGTCAACTGAAGAGAAGCCATGAAAGCTTACCATGCTTTCCTCATTTTCCTCCAAAAACTCCTCAGAATACTCCAAACTGTCATCTAAAAATAAATGTTGACCATGAGCAGGCAAACAGTTACTAGACAGAATGAATTATAAACTTGATGCATACTTTAGATTTTGTCTTGCCCTATCTCTCATTTTACAGATGAGAAACCTAAAAGAAGTCAGATGCTGACCTAAGGTTACTTGGGCAAGGACAATGACAGCAGGGCCAGAACTAAAGCAAATAAACAAATTTTTTAAATTCTCAGAAAAACTGCTTATGGGTAAGTTGTCTAAATTTTTTTAATTTGTATTAAAGTTAAGTTACATCCCTAAACCCATTTATAGTGTTTCTCTTTTTTTAAGATGTATTTGTTTGAATGGCAGAAATATAGAGAGGTAGAAGCAGAAACAAAGAGAGAGGAATATTTCACCTGCTGGTTCACACCCCAAATGGCCACAATAGCCAAAGCTGGGCCATGGCTAAACCAGAAGCCAGGTCTCCCAAGTGAACATAGTCCCGAGTACTTGAGCTGTCTTCCACTACTCTGCCAAGCACATAACCGGGAGCTGAATGGGAAGTGGGGCGCCTGGGATAAAAATGGAATGCCAGCACTACAAGTGGCAGCTTAATCCACTGTAACACACTGCCAGTTTCATGTTATCTTCCTTTTATCCACCTAGTATTGATTATCATTTACATACCACTCATAACAACTTTAACATGTTTCAATCACTAGTTTACTGAACATCATGATTTTTTAAAGTTATGTTGTCACACAGATGTTGGATCATATATTTCCACTTTTCACATTTTCTCCAAATCCAAAATTATTTCATATTGTAATGTGAAGAAAATGACACTGTACTAAGTACCAAGAGTACAAAGAAGAAGGCAGTGAGCTCCACTCACAGTCAGTGAAGGAAAGAGACAAATAGAAAAGTAGGAGAAAATAGAATCATGGAAAGGATCTATTTAATATACAGAAAATGGTACATTTTACATGGAATCCACATACTGAATGGATACAACTAGAAAAAAACACCTATTGACAAAGGTAATGGAGAGATGTGGAAAAGTCATGTAAGTAGAGAATGCAGAGAGCAACTGGTAAACCTCAGTGAACCCACAGACGCAGCTGGTTAAAGAGGGAGACCTGGATTAGGGACCAGCAGTGCTTCGTGCTGTGTAACAATCAGCTGTAAGAAAGTTGAAAGGTGTGTCCAAAAGAAGACATATACACAAACTTTTGGGAGCATGATCTCAAGGACGCAAAACCAGGATACAATTTGAGGCACTAAGAGGGATAAGACGTCAGTTTGAATTTTTTAAAAAAGCTCCTATCAGAGTAACATGGATTCTGCTAAAACTCAAGCAAGAAAAAACATCAAATTTGTGGTGAAGTCTATACAGAAGAATGGTGAGATCATTCATGTCTTAAAAGTATATAGGAGCAAAACATGTTGCTCTTTTTAAACTAATTCCCAAATAATAACATAGTGCCCAATATCAATTGCAAGCATTTCAAATATGACCAAAAATAAACCACCTTAAAAAAAACTACAGAGGGCCCAGCGCTATAGCCTAACAGCTAAAATCCTTGCCTTGAATGCACTGGGATCCCATATGGATGCCAGTTCATATTTCAGCAGCTGCTCTTCCCATTCAGCTCCCTGCTTGTGGCCTAGGAAAGCAGTCAAAGATATCCCAAAACCTTGGGACCCTGCACCCATGTAGGAGACCCCGAAGAAACTCCTGGCTCCTGGCTTTAGATTAGCTCAGCTCCAGCCATTGCAGCTACTTGAGGAGTGATCAATGGACAGAAGATCTTTCTCTCTGTGTATCTGACTTAAAAAAAAAAAAAAAAAACCCTATGGAGAGGAGAAACAAGATGGTGTCACACTGGGTAACAAAAGGCTGTGGAGCTAAAGGAACAACAGCAAGCTGCACAGGCACAAGCCAGGAAAGACCTCACTTCGGAATCAGTGCATTGCACTGGTCTCGCAGGGAAAATAGCACTGACTTGGCTTCCTGTGGGTTTCACCCAAAACAGGTCTGGTTTGCCCTCAGACCTAACAACCAGCAGGTTCCAGCAAAACCAGCATCACTGACAACCCAGTGATTCAGGACAGCTGGCGTCTCGGTAATGCTTAGCACTGCTTGAACCAGTAATGGGAGAAAGGCTGTGCAGACAATAGTACAGAGTCACAGGGCGTGAAAAGTGAAGCGCCCCCTGCTAGGGCTATGGAAACCATGATGAGTGCCTAGCACGAGTCGGACTGAAACTCACTGGAGGAAGTGGCACGAGCGACTCAAACAAAGAACTGGGTACCGAATGCAAATCGGTAAAATCAACTGACAGACCAGTTGGCAACACAGCTTAAAAACCTGCCCTAAGGAAAGAAATCTGCTAACCAGAACAGCAATGACCAAGAGCAAAAGAAGAGACGGAAAGACAATGAATATTACTGATGTCTCCCTCACGAAGGAGCAAAAACCATTGTAAACTGCAGAGTTAATGGAGGAAAACATCGAGGAAATGGGGAATAAAGAATTTTTAAAACTTACTATTATAAAACTTAACAATAACGACATGTTCAAGAGTTCAAGGAATTTAATAAATATGTCACACAGGAAACAGTAACATTGAAACAAAATTAAGCCCAATTATTAGAAATGAAGGACATAATGGAGCAAATAAAAACTCAGTAGAAAGCTTAATAATAGAATGAGCAAGGCAGAAGAAAGAACAGTGGGGAAAAATAAAAAAGCTGGAAGAGTAACTGAGTCAAGCTAAGAAAAGCATTCAATAATTAAGGGACACTATTATAAAGCCAAATATGAGTTATGGGAGTTCCAGAAGGCACAGAAAGAGAAATTGGGGTTAAAAATGTATTTAATGAAATAATAAAGGGAAACCTCCTTAATCTGGAGAAAGAATTGGGAAACAAAATACAGGAGGGATACAGAAGTCCCAATGGGGTTGACCAAAAGCAATCTTTACCAACTAATAATAGTCATGCTCTCTTCATTTGAACACAGGGAAAAGATCCTAAAATATGCATGTGAAAAAAATCAATTAACATATCGAGAATGGCAATCAGACTCGCAGCTGACCTCTTGCAAGAAACTCTACAGGCAAGAAGAGAATGAAGTGATATATTCCAGATTCTAAAAGGAAACAACTGTCAGGCCAGAATAACTTACCCAGCAAAGCTTTCCTTTGTCTTTGAAAATAAAAGAAAATTCTTCCACAATAAAGAAAAGTTCAAAGAATTTGCCTTTTCCAGATCTGCCCTACAAATCAAATTTAAAGATGTTCTATTGATAGAGAAAAGGAACAGCACCTACCAATACCAAGGCAAGCGTGGAAAATGTCCCAATAAAACAACAAAAGAAGACTAAACCAAATAATGAACAACCCATTGCTAAAATGATCGGACCAAATCAATGCCTATCTATATTAACCCTGAATGCAAATGGCTTACACTCATCAATAAAGCGTCAGAGACAAGCAGACTGGATCAAAAAACAAAACCCATCTATCTACTGCCTACATAAGACACATCTCACCAACAAAGATGCAGAAACTGAAGGTGAAAGGATGGTAAAAGATGTTCCAGGCTAATGGAAAAGAAAAACAAGCTGGTAAAGTCATTCTTATATCAGATAATACAGACTTTGGCATGAAAAATATTCAAAGAGATGAAGGACTCCACATAAAGATCCAAGGATCCATTCAGCAAGGAGAGAACACCTTATTAGCTTCTTGTGATGTTTTCTTTTTCATCTCTAATTTTACTTGGCTTTTCTCTCTTGGTTTTCTTTGTTACTCTAGATTTAAAATTTGTTTTGCTCATTTAAAACTGGCTTTTTCTTGTTGCAATTTATAGTTTAGTTTCAATTCCATTTATTTTTGCTGCAATTTTTGTCATTACTTGCTTTCTATTCATCTTTTCTTTTTAAGCAGGTCCATGAGATGCATTAGTAGATCATTTACTTGAGATATTTTGATTTTTTGTAAGCACCTGATGTTATAAATGTTCGTTTCAATACTGTTTTTGCTACATACATCTCAGGGGTTTTAATATTTTTGTTTTCATTTTCATTTCTCCAAGAAATTTATTTTTCTTATTAATTTCTCAGTGACGCAAATGTCATTCAGTAGCAGCATTTTCTTCAAGAAAGTTTTTTATTTTCATTTCTTTAGCAACATATTGGTCATTCAGTAGCATGCTATTTAACCTCATGTTGTTGTAAATTTTCTGTCTTCCTGTTGCTGATTTTGTTTTATGGCTTTTCATTTAAGGGGATTTATAATAACTGTAAAGTAGAGACTATCATACGCAGATGTGATGATACAATGCAATACGCTTCTCTACTTCCAAATCAAAGATGGTCTCCCAATGAAACTGTTAACTATACCTTGGCAATAGGATGCTGGACTCTGCCATTGTGCATACCTACAATATCAGGCACATTTAAATAGTAGAATAAAGGACTTAGAACTATTTATGAAGAATTATACTATTGTAATAATATAGGAGAAATCAGTAGGGGAGGTAGGTGGGATTTAAGGACAGATGTGAAATCCCAGGGACTATGGAACTGTATTATAAAATAATTACATAAATAAATAAATAACTATAAAGTATGACCAAATAAACTACAGAGAATAATGGAAATCATTTATTTATTTAAATAATCTAGTCTGGAGCCCAGATGAACATTCTATGCCATAGCTTAGATATACGTCTAAGTACATTAAACTCCAAATAGTTTAGGACAGAGAATAGAAAATAAGAATCACACTATCTGTGTTCAATCACAAAGTATCCATGCTATGTAGATATTATAAATACCTTGGGTGAAAGACAAATCATTTACAAGCCAGGTTTTACTTACAAACACCATCAATGTAATCCTTCGTAAGGTTCGCATCCGTCAATACCCAAAGGCCACATTCCTAGAAAGAATAATGTTTATTTTAAAATTAAGGTTTAAATGCTCTAAATTATTACAGAATTCTCTCCCACTTAATATTGCTCATTTCTGAGAGCTTAGTTACATAAAAATATATTAGACGTTCTCTTTCTCTCTGTCTCCCCTTCTCTTTAATATTTCACACATGTATGCACGTGTACACACACACGAAGACATTTCAAGCCAAAGAAAGCAATGTAAAGGAAAAAAATTATTTGCTTAATGACAATTCCAAGGCACATGTAATAAAAGGGTAGTAGTTCATAATGATTACTAATTCTGGAAGCACTTTCTATAGTAAAATATAAAATTTCTTCCCAGGTTATATAGCAAACTAAACATACCTGAAAGATTACAAAGGAATTTTTGAACATGCCTAAATAATATCCTGTATTATACAGCTCCAACTCCTGGACCACCTAAAGAAAAGACAAAAAAGAGTGAGTGGATGCATAATCTACTTTCCCTGTCTTCTGTAACATTTCTTATAATCCCTGAAAGAAAACAAAGCTTTCATGTTAATAGAATTTGAAAAGGACACAAACTGAACTGAGTTAGTAATAATATATAAACACTCATTCATGATTCAATCAAAATGCATGTTTAGTTTAAACTTAATTTTACTCTGCTCAGTCAGCTAGAATTCCTAAGACGAATGCATGCAAGTTCTATACAGGAAAAGCTGAAACATTACTGAGTAACAAGACCATCACATTGATGCAACTGAAAATATCTGTACTTTCGATGGAAATAAGTAAGTTAAATCTGATGGATCTTAATATAAGTTCTGTAAAGCATCAGTTACCTAGGCTAAAAAAAAAATCACAAAAGAGAAAAGAAATTACTAGTAACTATAAAAAGCACATAAAATGTAAAAATAAAATTAGAATATGGTCCAGTTTAAAAATAAAATATCAGAATTTTTTTAATAATGTGATTTAACAATTCCACTCTTAGGTATATACATAAAAAAAATGAAAACAATGACTCCAGGAGACACTTACAAGCCAAAGTTCTTTGTATCATTAGTCACAATAACCAAAAGATTAAAACAATTACATGCCAATGAAACATAAATGGATAAACAAAATGCAATTTATCCATTCGATGGAATACCACTCAGCCATAAAGAGAAATGAAGCCCTAAGACATGCTACAATGTGGGTGAAGCCAGACCAAAAAATGACAAATGTAAAGTCCCACTTACATGAAATATCTACAACAGGCAAATCAGCACAGACTGAAGTACAGTAGCATTAGCATGGGTTGGGGAAAGAGACTGAGAACGCATTATTGAATGGTCATGGAATCTTTGTATAATTTTAAGAAATAGATAGTAGTGATGGCAGCACAATGTTGTGAAGATTAATGTCACTGAACTGTAGACTGAAAAATGACAAAATATGAAGATTCTAGATTATATGAGTTCTTTACTACAGTTTTAAAAATAAAAGCAGTAAGCCTTTTTAAGTAACTTTCTTCATTCTTTCCCCTTATTTATGTTATCACTAACCAGAGAAATTAAAACAAAGTTGGAATTTAAACCATGAAAATATCTAAGTGCAAGTTGAAAAAGAAAACACATACTAGCATAAAATTAAACAGCCATAACCACTGTTTCTGCTATGCTAACAACCAAGGTTACATCCACAGTATGCAAACAAGAGGCTAGAACAAGCACTGATAACAAGCTTGTTCAAAATGATGGGATGAAAAAAACAGACAATTTCATAATGTCTCCGCCAGCTGGCCATCTAGGTAGCCCGACTACAGAGGGAGGGAGTCAGAATCATACATAATGAAGAGAAATGATTTCAGTTTCATGACTCTAGCTCCACCACAAAACACAAATACTTGAAACTGCTTCTGCCCACGCCCTAACATGAACAGATGGAAGCATTCAAGAAGAGACCTCTCTTATAAAGAAGTCCTCCTTTGCTCACCGGCTCAGTAAGAAAAACAGCCCTGCCAATATTGCCACAGAGGCTAGTGATGGAAAGGCTGGTGTCTGAAAATTATTGCAGGAAGATCTAGTACAACTAAATTATTCTAATACACTCAAGAGGCTCTCAGCAGCACTTAAAAATGTAAGAAAAAGGAAAGAAGCCAAACGGTCTATTATCAGAGGCTCCTGACTAAATTCTTCTGATCCTGCTGTGGAGGAACATGAAAACAAGTTCCCTGTGGAGGGAACTTGGATGAGTGAGGGGCACAAGAAAAGCCCCGACCCAGAGGAGGGTTGGTATTGAAGGTGCCAGGTGGCCCCAGACCATAGCAAAAGACAGCTAGAGACCCCAGTCACAAGGTGAAAGGTCTTTAAATTCTGCTCTTGCTTCCCCCAAGGGGTAGCCTCAGGACAACCACTGCTTAGAACCTTCCCCCAGAACAAACAGCAGCAAAGGCTCAGATGGCCTGAGGTGGATACCAGGACAAGCACTTCCACCCTCCTGACCTGAGAAAGTGAGTACGCACCCTCAGGGCTAGGGGATCCTAACCTCAGAAGACTGTGTCTTCAAGGTACTGCTTTTTCCACAGGAAAGAGTGTGGGGTTGTTAAGAGCAAAACTGAAAGGGGCCCAGCACAATAACCTAATGGCTAAAGTCCTGGCTATGCATGCCAGGATCCCATATGGGTGCCAGTTCGTGTCCCAGATACTCCACTTCCCATCCAGCTCCCTGCTTGTAGCCTGGGAAAGCAGTCAAGGATGGGCTAAAGCCTTAGGACCCTGTACCCTCATAGGAGACTCAGAAGCTCTTGGCTCCTGGCTTTGGATCAGCACAGTTTCAGCCCTTGTGGCTACTTGGGGGAATGAACCAGCAGATGGAAGATCTTTCTCTCCTTCTCTGTGTAAATCTGACTTTCCAATAAAAATAAATAAATAAATCTTTAAAAAAAGAGCAAAACTGAATGAAGGCAGGAAGTAAATAAAGAGGATAAAGTTCAGTCACCTAGGGGAATCTATAATGGAAACACAGCAGAAATAAGTATGTTCACATGTAGAAACACAGAGAAGTATGTCCCCTTGCATGCAATACAAGGATGGACTCACAGCAAAACGGCAGATAATCTCCTGCATTGTTGGGAGACACCTCAATGGCAGTATGACTTCTGAGTGTACACGAAAGATATCTATTGTAAGACTAGAGGACAGAGGTCCCAGCAGAGTGTTCTAGTGGCTAAAGTCCTCACCTTGAACGCACCGGTATCCCATATGGGCGCCGGTTCTAATCCTGGCAACCCTGCTTCCCATCCAGCTTCCTGCTTGTGGCCTGGGAAAGCAGTCAAGGACCCTGCACCCGTGTGGAAGACTCAGAAGAAATTCCTGGCTCCTGATTTTGGATCAGCACAGCACCTGCTGTTGCACTCACTTGGGGAGTGAATCGTCGGACAGAAGGTCTTCCTCTCAGTCTCTCCTCCTCTCTGTATATCTGACTTTCCAACAAAAATAAAATAAATCTTTTAAAAAATCCATCAATACAAACACTACACAGTTGAAGGAGTGTTTCAGCTTCCCTTGAATAAAGACCAACTGATTCCTCCAATTCAAAAGAGAGAGAGAGACTGGAGGGGAGAACAATGGGGAGGAGAGGGAGGAAGGGAGGGAGAGAAGAGATCCCGGTGCCTATTAAACTGTGTCATAAAATAAAGAAAAAAGTTGTTAAAAAAAAAAAAAAGAAAGAAAGAAATAGTTCAGCAGGTGAAATCTGACCACCCATTCTCTTTCCCCAGCAAACTTCATCAGAGGAGCTGCCAACTCAACTAGCGTTTCTAAGAAACACCCATGATTGGACTATACATGGCACATGAACTACTGACACAATTAACTCCAAAACATAAAACATACATGGTGCGAGCCAGCATCTTGGTGTGGCATCCTAAGCCTTTGCATGTGGTGCAGGCATCCCATATGATCCTCGGATTTGAGTCCTGGCTGTTCTATTCCAACCTAACTCCCTGTTAATGTGCCTCATAAAGCAGAAGAAGATGGCCAAGGTGCTTGGGCTCCTGTACCCACATGAGAGACCAGCAAGAAGCTCCTGGCTCCCAGTTTTGGACCACCTCAGCTCTGACCATTACAGCCATATGGGGAGTGACCCAACAGATGAAAGATGTGTGTGTCTTCTTCTATTTCTGAAACTCTGCCTTTCAAATAAAAAATAAATAAATGTTTAAAAATTTAAATATGCATGGTAAATATACAAATGGAAATAAAGGAAAATATTGGCAATTTGAATCTAGAACCAAATGATAAAAAGATGCACTAAAATCATAACACCTGTAAAGATCACAATATGAGAAGAAGGAGGATAAAGATGAATGGTGTTGACAATGGCCAGGCAGCTGGAAAAGTCTGTTGGAAATTCCCCCAGGAAAACACAGAAAAGGCACAAAGATAGAAAATACAAACAACCTGTAAAGAAAATGATGCTGGTCTGCAGACAGGATAGATGAGGAGGCTTTGCCATAACTTCTCCTGGGAGTTTTTGTTATGTAACAGGATAGACACTCTCATATTCTTTTTTTTTTTTTAAGATTTATTTTTATTATTTTTTTATTGGAAAGGCGGATATACAGAGAGGAGAGACAGAGAGGAAGATCTTCCGTTTGATGATTCACTCCCCAAGTGAGCACATCCGAAGCCAGGAGACTCTTCCAGGTCTCCCATGCGGGTGCAGGGTCCCAAAGCTTTGGGCCGTTCTCGACAGCTTTCCCAGGCCACAGGCAGGGAGCTGGATGGGAAGTGGGGCCACCGGGATAGAACTGGCGCCCATATGGGATCCCAGGCGTGCAAGGTGAGGACCTTAACCACTGCGCCACTGCACCACCGCGCCGGGCCCCAGACACTCTCATATTCTAGAACACTGACTGTAAGATATGGCTGTAGGGACCTGGTGCGATAGCGAAGCAGCTAAAGTCCTCTCCTTGAATGCACCGGGATCCCATATGGATGCAGGTTCTAATCCCGGCGGCCCTGCTTCCCATACAGCTCCCTGCTTGTAGCCTGGTAAAGCAGCCAATGACAATCCAAGGCCTTGGGACCCTGCATCCACATAGGAGACCCAGAAGTGGCTCCTGGTTCCTGGCTTCGGATTAGCTCAGCTCCAGCCATTGCAGCCAATTGGGGAGTGAACCATCAGACAGATGATCTTCCTCTCTGTCTTTCCTCCTCTCTGTATATCTGGCTTTCCAATGAAAATAAATAAATCTTAAAAAAAAAAAAAAAAAGATATGACTGTAGGAGTCGCCCAGGAAGACTGGCCTCCCTGGACACACCCCAAAGGCAGCTTTACAGAACTGTGAGGCTGGACAGGCACAGTCAGTAGTAACTATGAACATACACAGAGTTTCCACGGTACAGATCCGGAAACAGCAGCTGTCAAGGACCATGGACTCCCAGCTGTTGAGAAAGGAAAGCAGAGGGCAAGAAGATGTGCAGCTTCTAGATGATTCTGATACAACTTTCCTGACTTTTCAAACTTTACAAATCCTACAGAGAGGTCTGACCCTACCTAAGAAACAACAACTAGTAACGGCCATCAGAGTCAAAGTGTGTACTTAAAACACTCCAGTCGCAATATGAAAAAGTGCATTTTCAATAATCAAGGAAATAAAAAAGCAGATAAGCATGGGTTGAGTGCCAGAAAATAAAAAATAAGCAAATAACTGAATATAGGAAGCATCATGAGTTAGGAAAATACACTTTCTGTAGATAAGAAGAAACCTAATTCCCTACCCCATCATTTCATGATGTGCTCACAACCACAGAAACACCTGTGGCTCTAGCATCTGATAAGGGCCAGGAGTGGTCAACTGTTTCAATGACAAACCCGCTTCTCTGGAAGAAGTCCCCAGAAAATGGGCCTCATCCGTTTGTTAACCGGACCTTCAGCTACAGATACGACAGGGATAGGAGCAAGCAACTGAAGATATGTCCCGTGAAGCAAGACTAAATTGGTGGGGTTACAAAACTCACAAATTATTGATCTCTTATTCCTGGCCTGGCTGGTGGCTCCAGGATGCACTGAACATCCATGACATGAATTAATGATATAGAGATGACTTGATAAGAGTAATTTGAGATCTATGGTAAGAATTCTATTCATGCATGTATGGTATAGACAACTGTAGCCTCTTGGTTGGAACTTTAGGAATTATATAAATGATAAAGAAACATGGGCGACCTTCAACCTTGTAAAAGGGACATTTTGCTGCAGCCTGTTAACAGTGAACACCTGCCAATGGTTTGATTTATGTTTCAGGGTCATCACTTGTTCCTATGCAGAGCCACACTAGGCTGGAAGATGAGCAGAAATTATGGGAAAACACGGAAAGTATTGTTCTCATGCATCTCCTAACTCTGAAGACAGAGAGGCTAAAAAGAAGAGAAATCATCTCTTCCCCACTTTGCAAAGGGGTGGAAGTCAGCAGGAACAGACAAAATAAATCACAGACCGTTCTGGGGACAGGAGAAACAGAGAGCACTCTTCCACAAACCCAGGGATCCCATAGGCACCATCTACCCTGCCAGAGCAGCAGAAAAGAAGTAAGCAATATATTTGCTGCAAGAAAAAAAGAAAATATTAAACAAAAGTTTATAGATAAGCAGACTAGAAGCAGAAGTGCCAACTTCTCAATAACAGGAATCCCAGAAAGAAAAAAAAAATTGAAAAGAAAGAAATAAATGAAAAAATGGGCACAACTTTTTAGAATTAAAAAAAATGGAAGATGAGCATAGACTGAAGGGATAATCCATAACAGCGATAAAGTGTGAATGATAACTTGTTCCGGCCAGAGCAGAGGAAGGAGGAGGGAACAAGGACAGACAAAAAGAATGTGAGAGCATCTGAAATGTTGGTTTTGTTCGACATAACTACTGATATTGAAGACACTAACATTAGGAAATCAAGAGCAATAACTATTATTACAGTTCATGAATTAAGGACATCTAACACCAATTTAAAAAAAACAAACAGAAGGAAGCAAGCAAAGCAAACTTTGATCAAATCTTCAAAAGATAAAGAAATTAAAGAGAATAAAGTAAATTTTAAAACATGAAGCAAAGTAGCAGGGAAAGACTTCTTATTACTATCAGAGTAGATTCAAAAACAAAGCAAAATATAACAATATGTTAACAATAGATACTTTAAACAAAAACAAAGGTTGAGGGTAAAGATAGAAAAACACATCAGGCAAATATGAACCTTAAAAAAACCTAGTTTAGCAACCTTAATATATCTGATAAATATACTTTGAATACATATTTTCTATATATTTAGACATTTATAATAAGTATATTATAAATACATGGATTATATTGTAAAATATGCTAATATAGTATACTTGCCAGATGGAGGCATGCATGCTTGGGTATGTACACATGTTTATGTACACACAAAGAAATGGAATAATGTAATTATCAAAATATTCAGAAAGTCATTAACTAAGAAGTATTACTATTTTCAATAAAAATCAAATATAACATCTAAACTTTTAGAAATAATGTCAATTTCGGTAAAAGAAAAATAATCAGTATCTTTTTTTAAAAGATTTATCTTTATTTTCATTACAAAGTCAGATATACAGAGAGGAGGAGAGACAGAGAGGAAGATCTTTCGCCTGATGGTTCACTCCCCAAGTGAGCATAACCACCAGTGCTGTGCCAATCTGAAGCCAGGAGCCAGGAGCTCTTCCAGGTCTCCCACGTGGGTGCAGGGTCCCAAGGCTTGGGGCCGTGCTCCACTGCTTTCCCAGGCCACAAGCAGGGAGCTGGATGGGAAGTGGAGCTGTCAGGATTAGAACCGGCGCCCATATGGGATCCTGGCACGTTCAAGGCGAGGACTTTAGCCGCTAGGCCATGCCACTGGGCCCAATCAATATCTTTTATAGGAGTTTTTTTTGGAAAAGAAAAAATCAGTTATAGCAACTAAAGGAAATGTACAATTCATTCAAGCAAATTAACTTTACAATATAATGACAGACTCAGCCTAACCATATGTATGTCTTTTCTGGAGGCATTGATTATTGTCCAGAATCAATTAATGGACATAGAGTGTACAACCTAAATTACAACCAACAATGGCAAGTGGTAAAGTTAGAGCAAGCATTTGGCCTAGCAGTTAGGACTCCAGGAAAATGCCATAGCAGTATAACTGGGCTCCAGCCCTGGTTCCCTTCCCAGTTCCAGTTTCCAGCACTGACAGCTCAGTGGTTGGCACTCAGCCACCAATGTGGGAGCCCTGGATTCAGTCCCCAGCTCCCAGCTTCATTGCAGGGATTTCGGGAGTAAACAGACAGATGGGAACTCTGTGTCTGTCTGTCTCTGATAGTCTCTTTCCACGCCCACCCAGTGTATGCCTTTCGACCTATCAAATAATTTTAAAGGAATGTCTAAAAACTGAAATGACTAATTAATATGGGATTAGCTCATGTGATGCCAGATATCTTGCATACTTGTTGGTTTGTACATTTTCCACAGACTTCTGTGCTTTCACTCTCTCAGCATTCTATAAATTCCTAATTCAGTGGGAACTGTAATTATTTATAACTACGACAGCTAACCAAAGCAGAAAGCATTTCAAAACTACCTAAAGCTCTCTTAGATCATGTAATCCAGACTTGTGCAAGTCAATTTCCCAATACTTTCTCTGTTGTCCTAAAATAAACTGTAGGAAAATGAAGGGAAACTTTTATTATTGTGTATATTTATGCATATAGTTAGATGTTTCAATAAATGTATGCATTGTGCAATAATTAAATCAGCCTGACTACATATTTATTGCACCATATAATTCTGAGGGATAAGGGTACGCACAGTGCCATGGCAAACTAATCCACAGCCTGCTAAAATTGGCATTCCATTTGAGTACTGGTTCGTGTTCTGATTGCTCCACTTCCAATCCAGCTCCCTGCTTGTGACCTGGAAAAGCAGTGATGGATGACTCAAGTTGCTGGGACCCCACCCCCATGTAGGAAAGCTAGAGGAAGCTCCTGGCAAATGGCTTCAGGTTGACTCAACTCTGGCCATCGAAGCCATTTAGAGAGTAATTCAGCGAATGGAAGATCTCTCTTTTCCTCTCCTTCTCGCTCTGTAAAAGTCTGTCTTTCAGATAAAAACAAATCTTTAAATAACAATAAAACTGAAAATTAAAAATCTGGGGGGTAATAACATTTAAAATTATTTTCAGAGATTTTCAAGTATAGAATACATGTTTAGTGATTTCATTTGCCACACTGTACAACAGCTCTTCATCATTTACTCTTTCTAGTTTAAAGATATTTCTCACATAAGACAGCAAACATTCAATTGCAAAAACTGTCCAACATAAGCACTGGAAGAGCAAGCTTTACTGATTATTAACTGATACATGTAGAGAAAATTGTAAAATCTCTTTATTTGTGAGATAATATAATAAAATGTGTTCTTTTTCTTCTAGCATATATTTTCATAATTTAAAAAAAACTAAACTCACATTTTCCATTGAAATATCATTGGAGGTTTTCAGCAGATTCACACTTTTGTCAACAGCTGCAATGCCAATTATCGAGTTAGGCTGCGTCACCGAGACCCCTAGAGAGACTTTCTCAGATGGTACAGCAGTAACTTTACTCCAAAACAGCTCTATCTAAGAAAGGAAGAAAGAAGGATTGATTTCACTTTTTTAAAGCATTGCTTACGCATCTTACCAATAGCAAATCAATGACTCAAACCCTAAGATTCTCATCTGCCTTAGCTCTGCATACGTCTTAACTCTTCTCTAGAGAATTTAAAAAGCTTTGCTCCTGCAGTGTTTGCAAGTGAAGATTTCTCACAATGGAATAACCTCCAAACCTCCTTCACATCTCTACCTGTCCTCTTCCTTTCCTCCATCTCCTGCCTGTCAGCCCCCAGCCAGTGCTGAACAGCAGTGTCTATCACACCTAGGGAGAGCCAGTCACCATGAGGAAGCACCTTACAGAAGAAATAAACTGCAGGAGCCAGGCTTGAGGACACTCAGAAGACCAGCTGGTCCACAAAGTGAGGAGGGCTCTCCTAGCTACACAGCAAACTGGCCAAAATGCCATGAGTCTCCACTGCAGCCAGCACCTACTCTGCCATCAGGTTCTTCACAGCAGGGTCTCTCTCACAGTCAGCTAAGACATCTCACCGCAGCTGAACCACAGGAAGCCCCTTCCTGCTGGGAATTCTCATTTCTGTATCTCCGCCTTAGCACTCCACCGCACCAATGACAGCATTGCCTGGCCAAGATGACCTTAACATTCTCCTTTGCCTGATTCAACTTTTTCTAGACAGGTTTATTTCTGACCATAGTCCCTGACCTCCCTTTCCTTAGCAAATGTGACACTGCAGATCCTCTCTCTGCATCATTTGGGGTGTAAATCTTCAGTCTCTCAAGTGCAGGGACTGGGGAGCCCTCCTTCTGATGGGCAATCACCAAGGGAGTTAGCATGCCAGTGGATCACTTCAGTACCAACTGGCACACACGGAGATCATAATGAGCTTCCTGCACACCTAACCGGCCCTTCCACCTGGCCCTCCAGTAATTTTGTATTAACTCAACCTACAGCTTAAAAACTGCCTTTTGAGTTAGTGGGGTTGCTTCAACCTCTCACTTATTACATAACCTCAAAGTCTTCCTTGCCAGTTTAACTTATCCAGTGCCCTTTGTCTCTCAAGCCACTGAATCCAGTTCACTTCCTCTTTCAACATCCTAAATGTGAAGCAGAGGTGGATGGGGGCACAATATGTCCAAGACAGCCTTGCACCTTGTACTTCTTGCTCTATATCATGTCCCTCAGGGATCACATGGCTCCAGTTTGTACCTCTAGGTGGATGAATTCTAACCGTACTTCTCTTATCCCTTGTACTTCTCATTCATTTTTTCTATATGCATTACTGAGCATCAACAGTTTTACTAATTTCTTTTGTCTAAACACCTTCTATTTCTATGTAATTTCATTTTTAATGTGATGATTATTAGCATGTAAATATTAGAGATTGGTATACTTTTGCAAACAGAATTGAAACCTCCTTTCTCTTACAAGGGTATTTTTAATTCAAAGATAAAGTTGCACACAAATGTTAGGCTTACCCATGAGCCTGTATCTTACGTCTGGCCTACATACATTCAGTCTGTATTCAATACTCTACTCTGACGCCTCACTACAGTTACCCCCTGATGTAGACTCTGCGCTAGAAATACGCAGGGCTCAAATATGTGGGTTCCTGTCACCCACAAGGCAGACCTGGACTGAATTCTGGGCTCTCTGCTTGGGGCCTTCCCACCACTCTTGTTGATCGGTGTTTGGGGAAGGACCCGGTATCTGGGCTTGCTTGCTCACTCTTTGTAATGTGTGCATGTATATGTCTCAAACAAACGATTTTTTTTTATTGTTAAATTTAATCTGGTACAAAAAAATGAAATAGATGCATGGTTTTTTCAATATGAATTTTCCACGAATCTTATGAAAATCCCTTAAATCTAAGAAATTTCTAATAAATATGCCATTAATATTCCAATTTTAGTAACATTCCACAGTCTAAAGTGAGTTTTCGCACTCACTTCAGACCTGAGTCCCTTTCACAGATACATGGCTCCATGACTCCGCTTTAAAATTCAAATTTGTTTGGTAATTGTTGGAAAAACTAAAAGTAAAGATTGTTCTCTGAAACTAAGAAAATACAGTACTATATCTCCAAAAACTCTCAATAAGACAAAAAGTACAAATTTGTATTACATTTTGACGAAGTTAGCGCTAATAGTTCTCAACAAAAGAAAGTATATATTGCTGATATTTCTCAAAATTATAACAAGTTTTGGAAAAAGAGATAAGAAAAATGGACTCCACAAATCAAGAATTCAAAACAATGATCATTCTACTTAACATGACCCAAGAAGGCAACAGTGTTTAGCAAGAATAAAGGCTCGATCGATTACATGTAAAATCAATCTATCAGATTTCTTACAGTCAGGTTGCCAGGAGATTTCCCATAAAGGCTGCTTGTGTGAGATTTCACAGAGCACTGTCAGAATTGGTGGACACACTCCATAAAGATCCTCACACAAAAGAAAACCACGTTCACTGAAAGCTTGTCTTGGGTTAGTTTCCAGCTGATGAAATAGTTGGAATAAAGCTCAGCTCTGCTTCCACGTGTCACTCAGACAGCCTCCCTCCCTCCCATGCCCTTTATTTCCTCTATGCCACTATCAACACCACACATCCTATATCAGCCCTAAAATTCCATACCAGGGTGATCCTGAGCCAATGATTTGAAAACCCTCAAAGGACTTCATGGTTTGCACTGAAGTCTTACAGTCCAAAACCATACCTTATAAATAGAATCCATAGGGCCAAATAATTTCACATGCAAAAACGTACATGTGGTAACTGAAAATGAAGAGGTCCAATCACAGTTCTAAAAGTGAGTGATGTAAACTTATATCCAACTGGGCTTACTGACATTTCCTTTAAAACACTACATTTCTCAGACTTCACAAATAGGAATATTTTCTTTTAAATGCCATTACCTTAAATCTTACCTCATTTTTAAAAACAAGCTGAACAGGGATTTTGAGAACATCATTTATAATTTCACCATCATCATTTATATAATACACAATAATGCAAGCTTTTGGAGCCCAAGAATTTTCTGGTATTAAAGAGAAATTGGTTGAATCTTGTTTTCCTACAGCCACCAACTGTCCCCTGGATACTACCTGAAAATAGAAGAAGAAGTTTATTTAATTTTTATTTTATTTTATTTTTGGATAAAGCTATTAGGTTCTCAACTAAACCAGCATTTAGCAAATTTAAAGCATACAAAAAACTTTTCAATTAAATCAGCTTCAAAGCCCCAGACAAACATAGAATACAAGCTGGGAATAGGAAATGGTAAGATTAAAACATTATTGATTGGAACAACAGTAGCCTCACAGTCAAAAATATCTTTTTTGTTTGTTTGTTTTTTTAAAGAATCTGTTTTCAAGCCCAGTACAATGACTCAATGGCTAAATCCTCTCCTTGCACATTCGTCTCCTGGCTGCTCCATGTTCCATCCAGCTCCCTGCTTGTGGCCCTGGAAAAGCAGTCAAGGATGGCCCAAAGCCTTGGGATCTTGCACCCATGTGGGAGACCTAAAAGAAGCTCCAGTATCCTGGCTTGTGATCAGCTCAGCTCCAGTCATCTGGCCATCACGGCCACTTGGGAACTGAACCAGCAGATGGAAGATCTTTCTATCTCTCCTTCTCTTTGTATCTGCCTTTCCAATAAAAAATAAATCTTAGGCCCAGTGTGGTAGCACAGTGACTAAAGTCCTTGCTGTGCACGTTCCTGAATCCCATATGGGCACCAGTTTGTGTCCCAGCGGCTCCATTTCCCATCCAGCTCCATACTTGTGGCCTGGGAAAGCAGTAGAGGATAGCCCAAGCTCTTGGGACTCTGCACACAGTGTGGAAGACCAAGAAGAAGCTCCTGGCTCCTGGCTTCAGATCAACCCAGCTCTAGCCATTGCAGCCACTTGGGGAGTGAATCAGCAGATGGAAGATCTCCCTCTCTGTTTCTCCTCCTCTCTGTATGTCCGACTTCCCAATAAAACAAATAAAAATTTTTTTAAAGAGTCTTTTTTAGAAAAGAATCAATTTTCTATTAGAGGAAACATAGGGCAACATTGGAAAAGTGCATTATAAATCTATAGATAACAACCTTCATTTTCTTATATTTTATAATTTTCCATAATAAATGAAAGCTGTTTGCCTAATTTTTAAAAATCCACTTTAACTTAGAAAGGTAAATAGAGATGATGAAGAAAAAGACAGTTTCACTGTCATATGCTGAAGACAGGTTAGGACAGTTCGGGTAGCTATTCAATCTGTATCCTGTATGAGGCATCCAAGGTTTGAGACCCACCTATAGCTTCTAAAACCAGGTTCCTACTAATGCAGACCCAAGGAAATAGTGGTGAGAGCCCAAGCAATTAGGTTGCTGACACCTATACAGGAGACATGGATTGCTGATTTTCCTTAAAGATAGGTTAAGAAGGTGTGAGGCTGAATTTCAAAAATCAAGATCTACCATATCATATGACCCAGGTATCCCACTCCTAGGAATATATCCAAAGGCAGAGAAATCTGTATAAAAACTGTATAATGGAGACCAGCCTATCAGGAAGTGAAGATACACTGCATTACACATCTCCCTCCCAAATAAAAGGAGGACTCCCAATGAAACTGTTAAATATATCTTGGCAATTGGATACTAGACTTATCTACCACTGTCTATACCTACAATGCCATAATAGCGTTAAATAACAGAATGTTGGACTTGTGACTGTTGCTGAAGGACTGTACTATTGTAATAACATGGAGAAAACAGTGGGGGTGGAATTTGAAGGAGGAATGAGGAATCCCTGTGCCTAAGGAACCTTATCATGAAAAAAAAAATAGGAAGTCTAATATAAATATAAAGTAGACACTATTCAAGCTAAGTCTACAATAAGTTATAAATATAGATTCTACAAGAGATTACCATATAGCTTAGCTCCTTCAGGGGCTTGTTGCTAGCAACCACCAACTCAAAAGGTGACCCCACCTAGAAAAACAAATCTCTGTTAGTGTGAACATGCCAATGCCAAGAGAATCCAACCGTATTGTCATTACCAACTCAGTTGTAAACATTACCTTGACATTTTCATCTCTTGCTTTTAGCTGAATATATGTCTTACTGGGAGACGTAAACATGCCATGAACTTCCATGCTACTTACACTACCAAGAAAATAGGCCTATAACAAAAGAAAAGAAAGCTGTTTTTTCTTGAGTGATGCTTGAAGATGCTACCTGCTGAACAATTACCTAAAGCCAAATTCACTTTTACTTTTTTCAATGCAGAAAAAAGAAAATACATTCACCAGAAATTGTGTTTTCATCATTTCATATCTTAAATCATAAAGAAACAGATACTTTCAAAACATAGGAAAGGTTCTTCACCACCATAATATAAGATACAAAAGCATGGTCCTAGCTTATTTCAGAACAAAGATATTTTACCAGGAAACACAGCAGGAAGACAGAATGAAATGAAAAAGGATCTCTCCTTTTGTCCAAAACAGGTAGTTCAAGAAATCATTCCACCCAGCTCCACACACTGAAGTTCAGAATAAAATTCAAAAAGGCATATGTGTGGAACACCCAGCCTGGATAGGGCTGAATAACCGGAAGACAGAACTGGCTCAAACAAGCCACCTGGGAAAGGAAGCTCAACAAATACAAGTACACGTGAAACACGCTTCATTTCAGCTCTTGTGAAAAGAAGCTTTCAGGTGACTAGAAAATCAGCCTAGACTGGGGCGAATGCGGCTTCTCCATTCCAGCTTCACATTGCTGCGTTTTACTGTGCTCTTCCAAGAGAACTTACAGGAGAACATTCAGCCAAACCTTCAGTCACCATTATTAAAACACTTCTGTACTGTCTCCTTTTGTTGTGAATGGCAACATGCCCACTTCCAAGGCCCACTGAGCCTAGACAGGCTAAGTGCCCATCACACAGTTACAATTTACAGTAGCACAACCATGGCAAGCAGACAGCACCTTCAAGTGTAGTTCAACAGACTCGTTCAGGATTGGAAATTCAATCTTAAAGGTTCCGTTTGGGGGGACGGTGTAACTGATGTTCTGGTCCGCTGCCATTTCCTCACGTCTGCTGCTCCACCTGGGCCAGAGATTGGTACTGTTTCTCTGCAGCACTGCTATGATGACGTCATTTCTTCTCTCTTCCAGAGTGAGTTGATGGCCATCGGAACGAGCGACCTTCACCTGTCAAAGCAACACATCTTAAACACAGCCAACAAGAAACCCAAAGTTTAAAGATTCAATTGAGGGCCCAGCGCAGTAGCCTGGCAGCCAGTGTCCTAGCCTTGGGCGTTCCTGAATCCCATATGGGCACCAGTTTCTATCCTGGCAGCCCCACCTCCCATCCAGCTCCCTGCTTGTGGCCTGGGAAAGCAGTGGAGGACAACCCAAGGCCTTGGGACCCTGCACCCGCTTGGGAGACCTGGCAAAAGCTTCTGGCTCCTGATCGGTGCAACTCCAACTCTTTAGGTTGCCTGGAGAGTGAACCAACGGATGGAAGATCTTCCTCTCTGTCTCTCCTCCTCTCTGTATGTCTGACTTTCCAATAAAAATAAATAAATCTTAATAAAAAAAAAAAGATCCAATTGAACCAGTGTCGATGCTGGAGTACTCCTGTGAAACTGAGCCCACACAGACGACTGGTGTACTCTTTTCAGATTCGACGGCTTCTCCCTGAGTGGCATCCAACACCACTGGCCACTGCCTTCCTCGTGGCATGACTGCCTTCCTCGTGGCATGACTGCCTTCCTCTTGGTATGGCTTCCTTGCCTTGTGGCACCACCAACACCCCCTTAACTCATACTTCTCTTTTTCTGTCCTGTCGGGTTTCCCTTTCGTCTCCCTACATGCAGATATTCATCCAGACCAATTATCAACCATGGGGTTTTTTTTCCTCCTCTGCCTCTAAGTGTCACTATTCCTATTGTTTAGCTTATCTTGCAATCAGATCCAAACCCAAAATGTCCATCTTCATTTTCTCCAGAGCTTCAGCTCAATGTCTTAAATTCCTTGCAGCAAATTTCTGCTCAGTCACCTCATCCCCTCTATTTCAGCACTTCTAACACAGGGCAACCACCTCCATGTCCTATTTTTACCATTACAGTGACTGTCAGATTCAATACCTCTGTGTTCTCCCTTCCTCTCCCCACCACCCAAATCCAGCACCTGCCAAGTCCTACACTGGTGTCCCCCAGCCTCTCCAGGCGCACAGCCAGGCCCCTTGTTCCCTCCCACCCGGGAGGCTGCTGCCTTCTGTACAACACAACCCTTGGCAGTTCCCCTCCACCACTGCTTTGTCATGCTCCTCCCACGTTAAAGCTCCCAGGCTCTTTGCTGCCTAGAGCATCAGCTTTAATGCACAAGTGACACAGGATCCTCAACAGTTCCCCAAGCTTCTCCTGTTTTACCACACCCAGCCCTGTCACTGTCACTGGAAAATGCCCAGAATCTGTGAACCAGAGTTTTCTCTTTTTCCCTCGGCTCACCTTGCTCCACACCACCCGCCCACAACCAAATATTTCAAGGCTTACTAATCTTGTGAACGGATGGCTCACAGCCTCTTCTTTTGTTAAGCATCCCTTCCTCTAATCCTGGGGAAATGTCCCCCAAGCCAGCTCCCACTGGATCACTCATCTAGAGTGACCATTCTCAGCCTTGTGCTGTTTTACTTCCTCTTAAAACTGTCTAAATTGTTAGGGACTACCTAAAACTTGTCATTTAACAAGAAGCGACCTCTCCTATCTTTATATCAGAGGTCAGTAAAGGACAGCAATCAGGTAGGCAAATCCAGTATTTTATCAGAACGCAGACACCCTAAGTTGTTTAGATATTGTCAGTGGCTGCTTTCATGCTAACAGTACCAAGTTTTGCATGTCAATCACACATATGAATAAAAAGTAATTTAAGAAAAATTTTAGAAACCCAAATCCAGAAAAATATTTTGTTGGGGCCTGTTACGTACAGCAAGTCATCACTTGCAATACCGGCATCCTATACTGGAACACGTGTTCTAGTCTCAGTTGCTCCAATTCGGATAGCGCTCACTGTTAACAAGCTTGGCAAAGTCACAGATGATGCCCCAAATACGTGGATCCTGAAACCCAAGGGAGATCTACATGAAATTCCGGGTCCCTGGCTTGAGTCTGACTCAGATGCAGCCATTTGGGGAGTAAATCAACAAATGGAAAATCTCTTCCTCTCTTCTTTGCTATGTCTGTCTCTTTCTCCATATCTCTCTCACTCTTTCAAATAAATAGAAATCTAAAGGAAAAAATTTTAATGACAAAAAACTACTTTTTTAGAAAAGTTAGAAAAAGATCATTTGAAATTTCTACAAGTCTCATCAACCTAAAAATAAAAAGTGTTCTATTTTATTTTATTTTTTTGCTTCAAATTTTAGAAAACCATTGAAAGTCGCATTTCCCATTCTGTTACAAGACATTGAACTTACTTCAATGGACAGGTAATAAACACACTAACTTACAGTGGCTGTGAAGTTGAGAGATGGCTTCAAGACAGTAGCATAATCAAAAAACTCAATGATATAATCATGCTGTTTGAAAAATACATTGGAGCTTGCATTTCTTGAGACACCTGTTTTGGAAATTGCACCATTTAGAATGCAAGAGTAATATTTCACCAACAGCTTATATACATTGAATCTTCCCATCTAAGCTACTTGCCAAAGAGTCATTAGCTATCAAGACACACAAGCCTCATTTCCATACTAGCTTTGACACTGAAAGAAACACATAGTTTACCAGGTTTTCTGCGTATCCCTTCATTGCTATCCTCCCGCGGTGGCCTATACCCCAAATTATGAATGTAACTAAAGAATAATCTTTTACTTTAGGAGTATTATAGCTATTGAAGCAATAGAGCAGTCCAAAGAAGTAACCTTTATTTTCCAATTAATATAGAAGACTATTCAGGAGCAGGAGAGATGCCAGATGATGGTTAGAGATTTAAAGAAGAAGATGAAGAGGAGGAGGAAGAAGGAGAAAGAGGAACAGGAGGAGGGGAGAAAGAAGAGGAAGAGAAGGGAGAGGAGGAGACGGAGCTGGGGAGAACTAGAGAGAATAATTAAGCAGCTGAAAAAAATGTAAATGTGAACATTTCTGTGCAACTTTCAGGCTAAAGACAAAAAAAAATAGAAATGGAAAAATTTCACATAACCACCATATGTGGCTAAGTATTGACTCACAGAAAATGATTCCCCATTATTATGAAAACATTTGCAAGTTAAACTAACGAATAGTCAGGATAATTTCCACATGAAACAGCATCTTCAGAAAGGCAGTGATGCTCCCAGATGCAAGTCCTACTACAATCAAACGACAGAGCAGCATCACAGAAACAGCTTTACCTTCGCTTCAAAGGCTACAAACCTGTAAGTGATTCTGTCACTGTGGCTAAAATTTCTATTGGCCCAGGGGAAGATACATCCATGTGTTCAGAATGCCCATTTGAAAAATCCATTACCTTTTTCATCTCTTCCTCATTAAAAGAGAAGTTTGCAGATCCATTTATCTGTTTTGTTAAAAAGTTCACATTTATTTTCCAGATTTTAATTCAAATTAAAAAAAAAAAAAACTCAAGCTAAGTCACAACGAAATGATGGCCCTGGTTTGATTTTAATCACCACAAATGTGTGGGTTTTCATTTACTCAATGCGAGAAATTTTTTTACTTTTTTATAGTCAAACTTTTTTGTTTATCCCATATGAACTCTTGTTTCTAGAAAGAAAATACACTTATATTTCCCCAAGGATATGTTATATCTGCAAAAATTACCTTAAATTTCTTTGTAATATTTTTCTTCTGTCCCCAAAACGATAAAGGTAGAAATGTAAGCTCTACATCTCCTTTCACTGGCTTCCCATATGTGTACCTGAAAAGCAAAAACATTTTCACCTTGATATCATCAAAAGAAAAAAATTAAAATATTACTTTCAATAACATCTCCTGACAACCTAACATAAGAGAACTCTAAAAATATGAAAGGTGTACTTTGGGGTGGGCATTGTGGCACATTGTCTTAAGTCATCACCTGTGATGCTAGTTCCCATCTGAGTGCCAATTCAAGTCCCAGTTGCCCCACTTCCAATCCGGCTCCCTCCTAATGTCCCCAGGAAGCAGCAGCAAATGGTCCTCATACTTCTGCACCTAGTACCTACGCACTTGTCACACATACGCACAGTAGATACAGAGGGCTCCTGGTTGTGCCTGGCCATATGTGGAAGGTCTGCCCCTTCCTACACCTCCAGCCCCAGCCCCCAACCGTCAATCTCTCCCTTCCTCTCTCTCCCCCTCCTCAAAATCTATCAAATAAATCTTTTAAAAAAATACTCCTACTACAAGTTTTAAACCTAATGAAACAAGAACTGTCCTTAAGGAATGGTTATTCTTTTCTTTTTTAAAGATTTATTTTATTTTTGTTGGAAGGTCAGATACCCAGAAAGGAGGGAGAGAGAGAGGAAGGCTTCCATCTGTTGATTCACTCCCCAGGCAGCCTCAATGGTCAGAGCTGCATCAGTCTGAAACCAGGAGCCAGGAGCTGCTTCCGGGTCTCCCACATAGGTGCAGGGTCCCAAGGCTTTGGGCCGTCCTTGACTGCTTTCCCAGGCCACAAGCAGGGAGCTGGATGGAAGCAGAGCTGCCAGGATTAGAACCGGCGCCCATATGGGATCCCGGCACATGCAAGACGGGAACTTTAGCCACGGGGCTACCGCACCAGGCCCAAGGAGTGATTATTCTTTAAATTAATCCTCCAAATGAAAAGACTTCAAACTAAATCATCTGAAACCGTTCATTACATGCACTTTACTCAGCCTCTGACAACTGAAGAGACTCCAGAGAAAACAATCTTTGCTGGACATGAAGCTTTCTACTCAAAGATTTTTTTCAGAAACATGAAACATTTTCACCTCTATAAATGGGCACTGGCCCATTGTGCCCCTTTGAATCTTCACAGCTCCTGAAGATTTTTAAATGTTAGCTGAAATTGCAATGGCCCACTGAAGCATGTTCTGATGTTAGCCAAGAAGCTTGTCAGACTAGACTGAAACACCAAATATGTTTTGGGACATCAAAGCTATTTTTTGCAGGAAATTTACAAATAAAGCATCACTGTTAAATCCCTGGCAGTGGACTTCTTCAGGCCAATTTCACTCTCTGTTGCCTTGCCCTCTGTGTATCCATGTTATCCTCTCTAATGAAGGAAAACTGTCTTCACATGAAAAAGAGGCAATTCTTAGACAAACCACTTCACTGCCTGAAAGGGTTTACCTATTTATTTATTTATTTGTACTTGAAAGGCAAATTTTATAGAGAAGCAGAGACATAAAGAGAGATCGAGAGCTTTCACCTACTGGTTCACTCCCCAAATGCCCAGAGCTAAGGTGATCTGAAACCAGGAGCCAGGAGTCCCCACTGTCTCCCATATGGGCACAGGGTCCCAAGGCTTTAGGCCTTCCTTCAGTGCTTTCCCAGGCCATAGGCAGAGCTGAGTGGGAAGTGGAGCAGCCAAGACTAGAACCAGTATCTATATGTGGTACCAGCACTTGCAGGTGGAGGATTAGCCGATTGAGCCAACGTACTGCACCCTGAAAGTCCTTTCTAAATACCTTTCTTGGGTTTCTTCCAACTCTGTAATGACATGCCACACCAAATGTGGATGTCACTTTGTACATTCTATAAATCGTAGCAGTAAAGAACTGCTTCCTGAATGCATTAATTGAACACAGATACAGTCTCTTGTCAATTCAACTAGAAAGCAAACAGTAAATTGTAGCATATTAGAAATTAAAAAAAAAACCTTCAAATGCATCACCCTTCGAAATCAAAATAGTAACAGTAGGAGAAATCCTGGGTACCACTATGGCACCAACCTCACTTATTCAAAGACAGTCTTTGAAACCTGACACAATTCATACGCTTTTAAAAATCAAATAAAAACAAAAATAGAATGTGAGAATGGTATTTGAAGAGTTAATTTACTTAATATAGCATGTTCAGGAAATTTGTAAATCCAAACGTAATTTCACATGTTCTCACACACCGTTTTTTTTTAGATTTATTTGTTTGTTTGAAAAGCAGACCAAGAGTAACAGAAATCCCCTCCATACTGTTCCGCCCCTCCAAACACCTGCAGCAGCTGGACCAGGGCCAGACTGAAACCCGCAGCCTAGTCCTACAACCAGTTCTCCCACCTGAAGAGGCAGAACTCCAGCGCCTGAACCATCTTAAAACACTGAACTGGACATGGGAGCAGAATTGAATCCCAAACACCCGAATATAGGATGCGGTATCCTAAGTGAGGGCTTCACCTCTGCCGGTGCCCATCCCGACACAACCATTTTTAATTTTGACTAAGAATTAAACAGATTTAAGTTTCCAAGCACCAAGCTAGCTATTATACTTGTGAAACAAGGACACTGACAATTATCTTAAACAGAATCTGTAAGAATGTGGAATAAACTAGTTACAAAATAATAGCTGGGCAAAAAAATTTTAAAACAAATAAAAGGTATAACAACATTAATCAAAAAAATGAAATTTCTCTGAAAACAGCCATAGTGCAAGAAGTTTATAAACTAGTATCCTAAAAAGTGAATCTCTGAATATAATCATAGTTCTATCCAATACATTTTTTTGTTTCCATGCAACATTCAGAACACAAATGTCTCCATTCATCAAATAATATTTTAATAAATCCTCCACTGACACATTAGCAGGGAACTGGATTGGAAGTACAGCAGCCAGACAATAATCAGTACACATAATGAGTGCTGGCACTGCAGGTGTCTGCCCAGCCCCTGGATGGAATGTTTCAAAAGACGTGAAACACTAAACCTACAAGATAAAGTAAAAATATATGTGTGTGTGTGTGTGTGTAACTTCACCTTCAAAACAATGATCTGTAAATTTTCATGCAAAAAAGTGATAAAATTATATGTGCTGTGTAGTTTGTTTTTTGGGTTTTTTTGGGGGGGGGCTGTTTGTTTGTTTGTTTGTTGAAAAGAAGACTAGAAAGAATAAAACTTGAGTCAGGAAAAACACTTGACTGTTAGATTATACCAGGATTGTGACAATGAGAGAAAATACGCTGAACTGAGAGAGAGCACAGAGAGGTTCAGTGGTACTGGGTGGGGCTTGAATGCAGGGAATGCAGAACCAGGAAGAGCACATGGAGTTGGGTGGTACCTTACTCAAAGATGCGAAGAAAGGGAAGCACCACACCTGGGTGAAGCTGGTACCTATAGCTTAAAGCACCTGAGGGACACCCAGAGGTGACAACCAGTGGGTTGCAACATGCAAAAGCCTGAATCTCAACACAGTGTGGGCTGGAGCTGCGCAACTAAGTGTCACTTAACCTATAGCAGAAGACTTAACCACGGAGAAGAAAAGGGAGTAAGTCTGTAAAGAACCAAGTGACCCAAAGATGGCATTCTGAGGAATAAGAGCTTTTAAAAGACAAAGAATTGCCTGCAAAGGATCTCAGAGGAGGGGCCAGTGCCATAGCCACACCTGCTAGCACCAGCATCCCATATGGGCGCCCATTCATGTCCCAGCTGCTCCACTCCCCAACTAGCTCCCTGCTTGTGTCCTGGGAGGGCAGCAAAGCCTGGCCCAGGTCTTTGGACTCTGCAACCACATAGGAGACCCAGAAAAACTTCTGGCTCCAGGCTTCGGATCAGCTCAGTTCCAGCTGTTGCATCCATTTAGGGAGCAACCCAGCAGATGGGAGATGGCTCTCTGTCTCTGTCCCTTCTTCTCTGAAAGCTGCCTTTCAAATAAAAAATAAATAAATAAATAAGCCTGGAGAAACAAACAATGCATCTCAAAGGAACAGCCCAAGGAAATGGAGAAAAACAGCAAGACAGTGGGAGCCAGCAACAAGGTCAAATGCAGCAAAAAAACTAAACTGCAAACATCAAGGCTGAGCACAATAGGGGTCTCTAGGCCCACAGTGAAAGCAATTTCCATGTGTGATGAGGCAAAAGGCTGATCCAGGAGGCTGAAGAACAAGCAGAACGTGAAGCAGGAAATAGCACCTGGGCTGTGAAGCAGAGATGAGAAGCAACGGAGCAGCAGGAGAGAGACCACAGGTCACTGAGGGCTTGTCTCTTCTCATGATAAAATGACTAAACAGAGTGAAGATGTCACAAACAAACAAAAAATGACAGAAAGCAACTGCAAGAAGCTGAACCCCCAGTGAAAGAGGAGATGGAATCAAAAATACCTGCCTCTGAAGGCTAAGGAGAGGCTGCTTTCCTCATGAGACAGAGGTCAACAGGCATGGTGACAGTAAAAACCATTCCCACCTCGTCTGTGACATAGTGTTTGTAGAATAATGTTATGCCACCATTTATATGCCATTCTTCTAGACAGATTTTTAAAAATTCAAAAGATTTCTTTAATGCGCTGTGCTGCTGCAAAGCTGTAACTCTATTCTCAGTGCGGCTCTCAATCCTGGAGGGAAACGCAGACTCCCATAAAATCATACTGGTGCGCCCGGATCTCATGAGAGATAGCATGCAAGGGACACATTCAGAGTTTATTCACACACCCCCAGGGACAGAGGTCTGTGTAGGCCACCTCAGTGGCGATGCCTCTGAATTCACCCGAAACATCATCAGCACTCCCACTTCCCGTGCCACCCGTGAACAACTGAGACCTGAGGGAAGCAGATTCAGCAGGGAGAAGCACTGAGAGTGGATGGAGGAGCCTCAGAATTAGCCAGGTCGGAAGGCTTTAAATGACAGTGTGGAGGCTAACTATCCTCACTGCACAAACCAAACTTTTGGGGATATCAAGTCTAGCAACTTCAAGTTCCAGTTGTTGAGTTTAATACTAAGCTCAAGATGAAGGTATTTTATAGAAATAAAGTCCATAACTCACTCATCCTAACAAGGGAACATCTACATACATAATCTGAAACTGAATCAATCACTTGAGAGACCTTTAAAAAAACAGAGCTGAGGCTTTCCTACAGAGGAAGAAATTTTGTGGAAGACTAAGATTGACGCCTGAGGAGTTTAGCCACTCCTCCCCTTCCAGGCTGTCAGCCTTATGAATTCTGGATTTGCCTGACCGCACCCATAATCATGTAGGGCAATTCCTTTCAATAAACTTTTTTTTTAAAAGATTTATTTATCTTTATCGGAAAGTCAGATTTACAGAGAAATTCCTCCATCCGCTGGTTCAATCCCCAAGTGGCCACAACGGACAGAGCTGAGCCAATCTGAAGCCAGGAACAAGGAGCTTCTTCCAGGTCTCCCATGCGGGTGCAGGGTCCCAAGACTTTGGGCCATCCTCCACTGCTTTATCAGGCCACAAGCAGGGAACTGGATGGGAAGTGGAGCAGCAGGGACACAAACTGGTGTCCATATGGGATTCAGCGCACGCAAGCAAAAATTTCAGCCTTAGGCTAATGCACTGGGCTCCTTTTAATAAACTTCTTAATGTAGGTCTCCAATTGGTTCTGCTTCTCTGATTTGATCTTAACTGATAACACACATTCAGGAAAATTATCAGAATACAACTTGGGGGAACATTGAAGAAATGCCTGGCATGATCACAACTGCCTTATCATTCTTAAGCATTAGTATCTCAAAGAGGACCAACCAATGAGAATCACAATAAAATAATTTCTACTGGAAAGCAGGTGTTTCACATAGTGGTTTTTAAACAGCCTACTGGGCTAGAGGTGGAGGATGTCAATGATGAGATTTCAGTGTTAAGAACCACTATGTCAACTGACTTTTATTAAAAGCCTCTGATAGTCTGGGACTGGCACGGTAACCTAGCAGCTAAAATCCTCACCTTAAGAGGTCAACAATGCCAGGACCCCATATGGATGCCAGTTCTAATTCCAGCAGCCCCGCTTCCCATCCAGCTCCCTACTTGTGGCCTGGGAAAGCAGTGGAGGAGGCACAGAGCCTTGGGACCCTGCATCCGCGTGTGAGACCTGGAGGAGGCTCCGGGCACCTAGCTTTGGACTGGCTCAGCTCCGACCGTTGTGGATAATTGAGGAGTGAATCAACAGATGGAAGATCTTCCTCTCTGTCTCTCTTCCTCTCTGTATATCTAACGCTCAAAAAAAAAAAATTTTTTTAAACCTCTGATATCTGAAAACCAAAACAGAACCAAAGAAGATATCCAGAACAACCTAACCCAGACACTGATAAGGCGGAGCTACACACATGTTTGAGTAGACCGGCTCCTACTACATTTTCTAAAACCAAAGAGCTAAAAAAGAAAAAAGAAAAAAAAAACCTTCAAAGAGAATGCTTAAACTTTTGCTGAAGTCAAAAGAAGCACAATCCTTAGGTAAAATGTAGGCATTTGTCTGTTTTCTAAACTATAGGTCTATACACACTCCCTAATTCCATATCAAAAGCTACCTCTTAGTTGAACACAAGCAGAAAACTAACTTAGACATGCTTTTTCTTTGTATTATGTTGGTTTCAAGTGACATATTTTTGACAGTGGAGAACAGAATGTTCCTCAGAACGTTATGGACTGTGGACTGCTTCTGCCAGGCGACTCAGAGCCCCACCATGTGCCACTGCCATCAGTTCTAACCAGACAGGAATATACTGATGGGATGGCAGTGAGGTGAGCTCCAGTCTTTGCAAGCTCTTTGAGACCAAATAAATTCCAGAAACCAAAGTGCAACCCTTGATGCATCAAAAATAAAATCTACAAGAAACCAGACCTTAAATTATTTGAAGGGTGATCCTAGTGCACTTGTGAACGCCTTTACTCTGGAAACCTGAGGATGCCTTTTGCCTCAGTAAAATAAAACACTACGCTGCTCAAGCCAGTGGGTTTAAACCATGAGAGCCACCTGCACCTGTGAGAAGGGGTGGTTAAAACCTCTGTGCAGATCCTGAAAATGGAACAATACAGATTATGTATTAATCTGCTAATTACAATTTAAAAAAATCTCCCCAGTAGCTCAACTTCCATTATAAACAGAAAAATAACTGATTGCAAAGATGTAAGTTGTGTGACTACAATATTTTCTGAATGAGGAATAAATAAAGATACAATTTTCAAGAAACAGAAATCTAGAATATAAATTCCTTAAGTCATCTTAGACACTGGATCTGGGGAACTATCTTAGGACTGGATCAGCTGGGAAGCAGACATGGATGCAAAGACCCATGGAAATCCATGCCATGCTTGGCTTTTGGCTGTTTATTATGGAGACCTATTTAGCGCATTAAGGTATTTTATTAGAGTTTACTTATTTGGAAAGAAAGCAGTGAGTGGGGAGAAACAAAGGGAGAAAGCAAGAGTGAGTGAGTGCTTCCAGCCACTGGCTCACTCAGATGCCCACAGTCACAGCTAGGGTTGGGGCGTGTTGGAGTCAAGAATTCCATCTGGATCTCCATACAAATGAGAGAGACGCAAGTGCCCAGGTTTATTGCCTCCCAGTGCAGGACACTGAATTGCAAGCCAAGGTGAGGCTCAATCTCAGGCACTCTGGTACGGGATGTCGGTGTTTTCCAAGCATCAGCTTAACCTGCGGCACCACAGCACCTGTGCCCCACTGGCTGTTTACTAAGGAAAGCGTTGTCTCAATACCCTAGGGTACATGATGAGTCTTTTACCATAAAGTTTTATAATAGTTTGTAAAGTAATATTATAAGTGATGTTAGTATAAAGTATTACCTTAAATATTACTCTAGTTATAAAGTACTTTTAAAAATGTTACTTACTTAGCTGTAACGGTACCGTTTAAAGTCTTAGAATTCAAAGAACAATACAATGGTGTCTGCAAAACAACTTCAAATTTTGGTAACACTAGAAAAACAAAACAAGAGTAAAGCTTTTAAAGATTATTTTACTGTCATACACACCTGAATAAATTTTAAAAAGAATTAGCTGTGTGGGAGTTAAGGACTGTTACTATGTGAATTTCAATACATTACAATTCAAATACATGTTGATACAGATAAAAAGTCTTGAAGTTTCCTCCAAATTAGATATACCCATTTTGGTCCATTTTAGATGACTAAATATAAAATAACATGTAAATATTAATATTCTTTGACAAGTTATTGCACCAGAACAAAAAGCTTTCATGGTTTTCTAGCCTATACAGATTTTCTTTCTCTCAACTTCACTGCCCAAAGAAACAGATCAGTCTCACACAAGGCACATCTTTCAGGTAACAAGTACTATGAAGGCCAATGAGTCAGAACTAAAGAACAGCTCCCCAGATCCAAACAAAGCTAAATGCTCTTAATATGCCAACCTCTCCCCGGCACTAGGGCAGGAGACAGGAGAAAGTTCCATGAGGCAACTACCCCTCAATCCATGGACTAAATAGCATTGTTTCAGAATGAAACAGCAAACTATGGCCAATCTTGTCTAACAACGGTTTTTACAATTTTTAATTGGTTGAGAAAAATTAAGGAAGACTACCTCAGGACACATGAAAGTCATGTGGGATTCAAATATCCATACCAATTAAAATTTATTGCATCGTGGCTACATTCATTCACTTACATACAGGCTATGGCTGCTGTGTGTTACCAAGACCAAGTAGAGTAGCCAAGACAAAGGTACATGGAGAACCCACAAAGTCTACAACATATTCCTAACTGGCTCATTGTAGGAAAACACTTTGCTGATCCCCATACTGTGTGATTCTGCGACCCGATTCTAAAAATACTGTACGAGATACACAATCCAGAGCCACAAAGGTAAAAGTAATTTACTTTGCAAAATTTCTGTTGATTGAATTGGACACAAACTTCAAAATGCCACAATCAAATGAAAAAACTCATGAAAAATGCCAAAGCAGCTCTTCAGCTAGCAAGCAGAGACCTTATGTTTCAATTCACATCTCTATTTCCTGTCCATCCACCCACAAAGCAGCATCCCCTTGTTTCCGTTAATGTGTTTCCACCTGCAGTACTATAAATGGCATACAGAAAAAGATGAGGATCTACCTGAGTTTATTCTTCACCAATATCAAATATAAAAATTGCAGAAAATCATAGGTGCAAGACTTTTAAATATAATATTTTAAATAAGGTAGAAAAACACAAAAACTACATAAGAAGAAGGCTAGCATGTAGGACTACAAATTATCTTTGTCCTGCTTATTCCTATGTAATAATATTTTAGAAGTTTTTCAAATTAAATATATGTTTAGGCCTACAAGGAACATCAGAATTTTACTTTCTTTGAGTTTCTTTTTTTTACAGTAAATAGATAGCACATCTCTTGATTTATCATTGTAGAAAGTAATAAAAATAATAAATTTAAAAACTCTTACCATATTCTGAAACATGAAATGATTGATAATACGTCTGATCCTATCAGGAGGAAAAAACAATACATGAATTTATGAATCATTAATTATTTTGTTACTTACCTGAACAAAAAAGCTTAGAAAATTATTTCCCTTACATTTGTAATTATTTAATGAATAAAAGAGTTGATTTTAATTTGTGCAAATTTATTTTTATTAGCCTCTGAGATTTTTTTTTTCAGTTTTTCTTTTCAATTCACTAACATTACAAAATAACCAGGGACAGGTGCTTGGCCTGACAGTTTTTTGTTTTTTTGTTTTTTTTTTTTTTTTTATTGTTGCTTACACTGTATTATGTAGTACAGTTTTATAGGCGCTGGGGATTCCCCCCACCCCTCCCCATACCCCTCCCCCCATGGTGGATTCCTCCACCTTGCTGCATAACCATAGTTCAAGTTCAGTTGAGATTCATTGCTTGCAAACACATGCCTAGCATAAAGTTCAGCGTCTTATTGTCCAGATAAGTTCAGTGGCTTCCTGGGGAGACCTTCTATGGTCTGAAGATAAGTCTAACAGAGTACAGATCCGGTCGGTTAAAAGCCCCAACAAGGCCTCAGTATCAATATACAACATTATGGAATTAATTGACATAGTATTGGGTAAACAATATGTTAAAAATAATGCAAGTTCCATTCTTCGAAACATCTGGGTTGAGACAGCATCAATGACACGTTCAAAAAATAACAAACAACCAAACAATAAATTACAGGTTAAATCAAGGCAAACATGTGGTATCTAATCTTTTGGGATTCACTCATTTCCCTTAGCATTATAGTTTCCAGTTGTGCCCATTTAGCCACAAAGAACTGCATTTTGTTTTTTTTAATAGCTGAGTAGTATTCCATGGAGTAGATGAACCAAAGCTTTCTTATCCAATCTTCTATTGATGGGCATTTCGGTTGCTTCCATGTTTTTGCAATTACTGATTGTGCTGCAATGAACATAGGGATGCATGTTGGTTTGTCGTAAAACAGGTGTTTTGGATATATTCCTAGGAGTGCTATTGCTGGGTCATATGGCATGCAGATTCCGAGTTGTTTGAGTGTTCTCCAGACTGATTTCCATAAAGGCTGTACCAATTTGCAGCTCCACCAGCAGTGGAGTAGGGTTCCCTTTTCCCCGCATCCTCACCAGCAAGCGTCATTGGTGTTCTTGTTTATGTGGGCCAATCTTACTGGTGTTAGGTGGTACCTCATCGATGTTTTAATTTGGATTTCCCTTATTGCTAGGGAGCTGGAACATTTTTTCATATGTTTGTTTGCCATTTGGACTTGTTCCTTTGTGAAATGTTTGCCCATTTCCCTTGCCCATTTCTTGAGTGGCTTGTTTGTTTTGGTTTTTTGGTTGTTTTGAAGTTCTTTGTATATCCTGGAAATTAGCCCCCTATCGCCTATATCGTGTGCAAAGATCTTCTCCCACTCTGTGGGTTGCTTTTTTACTTTGTTGATTGTTTCCCTTGCTGTACAGAAGCTTCTTAGTTTGATGAGGTCCCATTTGTTTATTCTGTTCTCAACTGCTATTGCTTTTGGTGTCCTTCTTAGAAAGTCGGAACCTACTCCTAGGTCTTGTAGTGTATTTCCTACATTTTCTTGCAAGAGTTTGAAGGTTTCTGGATGTAGGTTTAGGCCTGACAGTTAACCAGAACCTAGGACACCCACATCCCATATAACAGGGCCTGGGGGGAAGTCCAGCTTTGTGTTAACATGCACACTAGGAGGCAGTGGTTAATGCCACAGGTGTTTGCCCTGCCACTTATCGGGGAAGCCTGGATTAAGTGCCCAGGGTCCTGGCTTCAGTCTGGCCCCGTCCTTGACATTTAGAGAGTGAATCAGCAGATAGAAGACCTCTTTCTCTCCTCTCTCTCTCTCTGTTTCTCCCTCTCTCTACCCCTTCCCCTCTCTCCCTTGTTTCTGTCTCATCTATCTATACCTCTAAGTCTCAAATAAGAAATGAAAAATTTTAAAAAGACTAAAATAAAATAAAGGAAACCGCCATTAAAAACTACCTAACTTTATTTTTATTATTTGTAAAATGAGAATTATACTCAATTAGATAATGCAGAAATTTATGAAGCAAAGACAAGATATATAAGCTATCAGGAAATGGCATCAATTTTTTAAGCAGTAACAAAAATAGCAAGGTTTAATCAAGAGAGGACACCTGACAGACTAGCAGGGTGTCAGGAAAGGACCAGGAGAGCCCAGTCTGTATTCAAACCAGAGTTTTTAAGGATGTGGGCTTGCCCCTACCCTGTTTTTCTTCCCTTTCTGCGATATGGCTGAATGGAGGGCTTCCTGACGATGGAATTCCGAAATTCTTCCCAGGACTTCATCAGTACACAGGATATATCTGTTGTAGATATCATTATGAAAAAACTACTGGAGAAAATCAACTGAACACAATTCCAATGTTTATAAATAACCAAACATACAAAAGCATCAGGGGCCAACATCCTCCAACTCACTGATTCACTGAGGCATATTCTAAGGGACTCCATAAATGAATACACCACGCAGATTCACCAGATACTTTTTTTTTTTTGCAAAAACAAGAAAAACAAGTGGCTTATTAAAATAAAGTTTTTAGGGCCCAACGTGCTAGCTTAATGACTAAAATCCTTGCTTTGCATGCACCAGGATCCCATATGGGTATCAGCCCAAAGCCTTGGGACCCTGCATGGACCCTGCACCTGCCTGGGACCCTGCTCCTGGCTCCTAGCTTCTGATTGGCTTAGCTCCAACTGTGCTGTCACTTGGGAATGAAACAGCAGATGGAGGATCTTTCTCCATCTCTCTTTTTCTCTGTAAATCTGATTTCCCAATGAAATAAACATCTTTTTTTAAAAAAAGTTTAAAAAAGAAATAAAAATATGACTCACTTTGAAATACAAAAATATGCAGCAATTTATATACTAAGAAAAGCACTATCTAAACTTAACTCCCAAAGAAATTACATTGTTCAGATCAAGTTATAATCTCCATGCATGTAAATATTTAACTTAAACTGTTTTCATATGGTATATTTGTTTTCATATGGTATATTTTCATATGGTATTTGACTATGTATAATAATTTGATTCTCATTTGTACTACTTGAAAATCAAATTAAGAATACAATCTCCCCTATTTACCTGTTTTACTGATAAGCATAAGGATTCTGAGGATTTTTAATACTTATTTTGTTTATTTGAAAGGCAGAGTTACAGCGAGACAGAGAGAGAATCTTGCATATACATGTTTATTTTCCAAATGGCTACAAAGTTGGTTCTGGGCAAAACCAAAGCCAGGAAGCAGGTGCTGCATCCACATCTCCCACATGGGTGCAAGGCTGTGAGGGTACATGCACTATCTTTTATGCCTACTGTTTCTTACACAACCTCCCATCTCTCCAGACTTAGTTCAACTTCGCTGTCATTTCCTTTAGCACAACATATGATCACTCTCTGGCCTGTGTCCACTTGTTGCAAGAGATGACAGAATGCCTGGGCACACAGTTCTTGGTTCCACACACCTTCAGAGTGCATTGAATGAACATACGTCAAAATGAACACATAATTTTGTTGCCAGGCTTGTTGCTCAGGTGCTCATGAAGTGAACCTGCATCCTCAGATAGGGTCTGTAGCAAGTCACCGAAAGACCCTTTTCTGAAGAGGATCAAATGACTGAGAAGGAACCTTAACTCTCCCCTTCATTGAGAGGAAGGAAAAGAAGAGGCCAACCACCATGGGAAACCAAAGAAGAAGGAAAACGCTTTTTCTCATTGTCACTTAAAATTATTCCAAGAAATCATTTGGTAACTGAAAGTGTACTCTGAACCACATGTCTTCCCAGGGTGTTTACAAGTGGTGAAATGTAAATCAAGAAATAAATATTTCTGCATCCAAGGGACTGAAAAAACAAAACTCAGCATTGCAATGTCCAACATACTGTCCATTAGGCAACCAGGCCAGAACAATATTCACAATGCATTTAACTATTTTTATAAAATACATAAACAAGAATGGCAGAAAATATTTAAACATTTAAAATTAATAATTCAAAGAATCAGCAGCCCTCTGTGTTTTTCACCTATGCAGAGCACTTTCCTTAATCTGCAATAGAGCTCTGCATAGCTTATTCCTGCAAAGACACTGTAGGTTTTGCAGGCCCTGTGGGCTCTATCACAGCTACTCAACAAGGCTGTCACAGTGCAAATGCAGCCAGAAACAACGTGCAAACAAATGACCATGACTGTGCTACAATAAAACTTTAAAAAAAAAAAAAAAAACATAGCTAACAGGCTGGATTAGTTCTACAAGCCAGGATTTGTTGACTGTTGGTCTAAAAGAGGAATAAATTTTATTTCCAAACTGCAGCATGTTAGACCTAGTCGAAATAAAATGAAGGAGGTGAAACATAGCTTTTGTGGAAAGTGCAAATTTCTTTTGCTAAACAATTGCCCTTCCATTTCAAAGGAATGTAGTTTGCTTCAAAATGAGTTTTGATGTTCGCTGCAGCTCATCAAGCACAACTCATGCTCATTCACTGTGTCAGCAAATGGAAAGAAAGGCTGATCTGAAGGTGAAACACTGGGCCAGCTCCTCTTCTAAGCAAACACCTTTAGGCTCTAAGCAAATCCATGGGCTCTTACAGGACAATCCATCACGCACAGACATTTTCTGAGCTCTTCTTTCCCCAATATGGTCACTGATCCCTGGGGAAAGCTCTCCCTGCAAAAGCACATGTATTCACTGTTTGTATTAGATGTAAGCTTGGCCCAGATTTCCTAAACAACTATCAAAGCAGAAACAGAAAGGAAGATCCAGGAGGTATTCTCAGTAGTCTCTAATTTCCCTAAGCCCTTTTTCCTAAATCAATAATTCTTGATAAGGATTATGCTATGGAAATCAGTCAAAATGACAGAAAATATTAACTTGACACCTTCAAGAAGTTCATGAAAAATGCTTATTATGGGAAAAAAACATGCATAGATTCCAAAAATTCTGTACCAAAGCAAAGTTATCTT